CCCCCCCCCCCCCCGCAGATTGCATCAAAGTCGAACAGTGCCGCTACACAGGTATGAAATAAAACTGTACTCATTAGAAAAATAGTCATTTAGCAAAATTGTTTTTATAAAATGTGTCAAATAAAACATGGAATAAAATAAATAAGAATAAATAAATAAAGTATCTCATGTGGCTCCCAGTTTACCCAACAGACCCTCAGCCAGCAGCTGAGTGCACGCACACCCCTTCCACAACCTTAGCATCCCGCCCGCACAACCCAAACACACCCACACACCGCCACTGATGTACAGAAACATTGCACTGATAAGAGAACAAAAAATCGACAACTGAAATATTTCAATGTGATGCCCGTGAACAATAAACTAAACTGTACAGTGAAGATAACATAACGATGGAATGTAAAATGTGTTGGTGCTATCCCACAAGAGGGGGCTAATTGTTGAGGGAATAAAATCTAACAAAGTGAGAGGATATCATAGATCATAATTAAAAACAAAACAGAATGATCAAATTCATGGCTTTCTGGCGGTTAGTCTTTACCTTCACTTGTCAACACAAATAAACTTCATTAAAACCTAAGAACACATGTCTAATATTTGATATAACCTACTGCAAGAAAGAATTGATTAAATTCTCAACAATATAAGTAAACACACATTCTATACACATTTTGTACAATAACATATCTTTTACATGAAATGTATCATTGAAAACAGCTAAATTGCAAGTATTCTAAGTGGCATCGAAATAAAACTCAATTTGATTTTGGTCCGTTAGTCCTTTCACGACTTTCAGCGTCCCCAGGGATCCCCCAAACATCCAATTGGGACACACTGATATAAAAAAACTTTAAAAACTATCAAGGGCCTCTAAGTAAATTGTAAGCCTTTCAGCACGTCTCCTATTTATTAAAATTGAAAAGGTGCTGGTTGAAGTCTTATGGAAACACTAATAAGTACGAGGGCTAATTAAGAAAAAACATCACTAGTTATCTACATACAGCAGATTCAATTTTTGACTTAGTGAATACCTCCCCAGCAAGGCAGTACTTACGGTGGATTCATCTTTTGGAGAGAACATCTGAATTTAACGCACACAGTAAAATATTTAATTGCAACACTGTGCTCGCAGTCATGTTGTAGTGTCCCATTTTTTTAAATTTCTAGTTGTACCTTTGAATACAAGGATGTCCAATGATAGAAATGCACACAGGGTTAGTAAACATCCATGTGCGTGTGCCAACACCATTATGGGGGCCAGGCGTAAAGTGAAGCTCATCCGATCCCGACCGCCGCTCAGTGACTCTGTTGGCTCATGTCACTTCAAACTTGACAGGAACAGTGCACGTCCAGTCTTCTCGTTTCCTTGTGAACTTTGACTTGACCCCGTCACATCCCCCAGTCCTCCTCTCGCCGCCGTCCCCACCACCGCCACCAGCAGCGGCACGTGCTGGAGTGTCGCCCCATCCCGCTGGTTTGTTGTGTTTAAAAGTTATGGCCAGGGAGTACCATCCTGGCACAAAGAACATGAAGGAACACGAATGTTTGACTTCAGTGCTTGATGCAACCTGTGAGGGGAACAAACAAAACATGGAATGGTTAAGTAGGAATAGTGGACATCGCAGTAAACTTGTGCTACGCACCGTCACCTGGTTTTTGTAGCTATAATCAGTTTTAGTACGCTTGTTTGTTGAACGACATGTAATAAAGGACTGAAAACCATCACACAAAGAAAAACGATACCAAAGCTAGCTGTGTTAACAACATTCAATTTAATGATAATATCAAATTTACATTAAAAAATACAAAATCAAATTTACAGAAATAAAAATTATATTACAGCAATACTTACAGCACAGCAAATGAAAAGGTATAATCCTTGAAAGATACAAATATAAATACACTCACACATACACACAAGGATTAAAATCTTGTAAGGCTCCAATAAGTGTATTGCTTTGTCCCATGTCTAGGAAATTTAGTAAAAAAAAAAAAAACTCTTCTGGCTGGCAAAGCTGTCAGCTTATTTATAGGGGAGAATAAAAACCCTCTAGAAATTGCATCCCCCGATAGCATTCTTAAGAACAAATATAACGTAAACAACCTTTTCCCAATCAAGGGAGGGGTGTGGCTGGTACAGTGCTACATATTTAATACTTGGCGTCAATTTAAAAACCAAAAAAGGGGAAGACAACTTGTGGTCCCCACAATGCTAAGCTGAAGTAAAATTAGGTCAACACACATGCTATAACACTTGGCTCATTGAAACATGATCTAATGCCCTAAACATAGGTTGATATGTTGTGTACAAAAAAAAAAAAAACCATGAAGGCATAGATCAACTTACCTTTGGGACATATAAAGCTGAGCTACCAATCACAGACACGTTTGCACCATCTAATCCAATATCCTCTGCCGCAGGTCGTTGGCAAGGCTCTATGCATAAGGAACAATTCTCCTTCTCTTCACCTTCAAAGAAATCAAATCAATAATTTACATGTGAGAAACGCTCACTTTCAAAACATTCATTTATTTGCCAGTACTGAAGTGCTTTTCTGCCCCAACCCCACAAAATTGTATCAGTTTTGAAATTTTTTTTGCTTTGTTCTCTGCAACTAAATTTGTAACGCAACAAAATATTTAGTGGATCAAGTGATAGCGACTATACTTTATTATATACTTAACACACAATCACAATAATCATAATAATTAATACTTGAGCTTGACAAACGAGCAAATATTCATGCTGAACATACTGATCCGAAAACACTTGGAATATAGCTTCTCGGTAAACTTCTTAGTAACTTCTCTACTTGATAAAGATACCACTATGACCAAATCTTCTTACATAAAAACCGTAACTTAACTGTCACCATTTCTTATTTCCGTCCCGCTCCTTTCTGATTGGTTGGTTTCTACCAAGTCCCAATACTCCCTTATATTACAAGTGATAATTCTCACATTACTAAACTCCCTTGTAGTCATCTCATATCTGTGGTGCAATGGTAGGACTACAAGTTTTCAACTGCATCCATTGTGTGTGTGTAAAAAAGGGGGGGGGGATTTCAGTACAATAGATGTTACATAACTGCTGGAAACAAAACTCAAACATTGCTAGCCAGTTAGGTTCCACTGGAAACAAAACTCAAACATTGCTAGCCAGTTAGGTTCCACTGGAAACAAAACTCAAACATTGCTAGCCAGTTAGGTTCCACTGGAAACAAAACTCAAACATTGCTAGCCAGTTAGGTTCCACTGGAAACAAAACTCAAACACTGCTAGCCAGTTAGGTTCCTTAGTGGGTCTCAAAATAACAACATGGGCACAGAGTTAAACTTAAAGTTAATTATACAATTTTTTTTGTTTTTTTAAATCAAATTATTTGCCAACTGTGGTGTATGATTTTAAAGATTTCCTATGTCTGACCTGTTGTGTTTTCCAGGGTAACGGTGACCTCCACCATTTCACCAACAGAAAATCTGAACCTTGATGATGTTAGGAAAGGCTTCTTGTTCAAGTGCACTCCTGATAAATAACAAAGTTAACATTTTTTTTTTTTTACATTTAACAACTTGTTCAGTGTTTTGTAATAACTTTTAAGGAATGAAATTAAAAAAAAGGTATTAAGTCAGGTTTTTATAATTTTCGAGTAATTTTCAAACATAAAAAAAAACTGACTGACGAACAAACAGAGCTAAAATTGAAATGAGTGAATTTTCAAAAATAATTTGATCGTGGGCCCTTAATATATAGAAGAAGAAACCTTCATGTTTATTACTATCTTTAACTTACCCCATCTGACATCGGGCGTCAACAAAACCAACAGTTGCTCAGTGGTCCATTTGATGTAGTCTACTCCCACTTTACCACTGGCCTTGGCTGCAGGCTGGAGGAGGAGTAAAGCATCATCATTATCTTTCTCTTAATCTGAGAACATGGATAACTGAGAACTTGTATGAACTCATTCATAAAACTAATTTGTCTGGACACACTAATCTTCCAATGTTTCCATACAGGCTGTTAACTTCCAAGTCTCCCTCCAGCCCAAACCCCTCCCCCTTACCATTGTCCACCTTATGTCAACATAATTGGCCAGAATCTGACTGTAAGGGTCAGGGAGCAGCTTGGTCCTGTAATGTAGTGGCACACGGTCATTCTGTACACTGCTGGTGTCAACCTGGTCAGGGTCCAGCCGTGGGACGTTCAGAGATATTCTGAAGAAAAAAAGGGAACCAAAAAGGTCATTTGGAGCACAGCATCAGCAGCTTGTAACGTTTTAGCCACGGGAATGTCTGGACACATTTAGTGCTCCCAGAAGGGTGCCATGCTTATTTACTGAGGGTTTTCTAGGATTTCTGATGCTTAAACAATGAACTAATGTTTCCAGTTGAACTGTTGCATAAAGAAAGATCCAGGATAATTCATTGGAAATTCATTGTCACCTTACAAGAATGTATGGCTAAGGTTTAAAGCAAATATAAAACCTTTAAATTTTCTAAAACCCAACTAGAGCAAATATAAAACCTTTTTATTTTCTACCTCCCATCTAGAGCAAATATAAAACTTTTCCATTTTCTACCTCCCACTAGAGCAAATATAAAACTTTTCAATTTTCTACCTCCCATCTAGAGCAAATATAAAACTTTTCCATTTTCTACCTCACATCTAGAGCAAATATAAAACTTTTTCATTTTCTACCTCCCGTCTACAGCAAATATAAAACTTATCCATTTTCTACCTCCCATCTAGAGCAAATATAAAACTTTTCCATTTTCTACCTCCCATCTAGAGCAAATATAATACTTTTCCATTTTCTATCACCCTGCTAGAGCAAATATAATATTTCTATTCTCTACCACCATGCTATGCAACCAACTTTTACATGCACACAGATTGCTCTACCTTCTTGTTTGTTGTGGTTCTATAATGATGCTCTTGTCATCGCCATACTGAATGTCAATTTGATGACTTGACACATTGATTAAATCTAAGCACAGCCGGCATTCACTGGAGCTGGAATGTAGCATTTTGTTAAGCTAACTGTTTCACCAAACTCTAAGAGGTCAAAGAACGGGATAAGTGCATAACATTTTTTTAAAAAAAGATCGCAATCATTAATCAGTAACCAAAATCGCAAATAGAGCAGGACTTATATATATATATATATATATATATAAATATAAAGTATTTCTAAGAATATTTTCACACCAGATCTTCCAAAAATTGGGGTGTGGGTGATGGGCAGTTTATAGACAAAACAGATTACCATAATTAATTAGTAACCTAAATCACAAATAGGGCAGGTCCTATCAATCATTATACAATATTTCTAAGAATATTTTCACACCAGATCTTCCAAGAAGTTGGGGGGATTTAGACAAAAAAGATAGTTGAGAGAAATGTAGGTGGCAGTAATGGACATTCATAGTAAAAGAAAAGGGTCAAGTGTCTTTTTTTTGTTCACATTAATTATTTCTAGTTTTATTATAGGCATAAAATGCACGAAGTCACAATCAACTGACAATGAAACTGATCAAATAAAATTTGGTCGAGGGCAGGGCAGGAGAAAAGCCAGGCCTTGGTGCCGGAGAAAAGAGGCGCTTGAGACAGAGTCTGAAAATGTCACCCCTATTGTAGAAACAAGTGCTGCCATGAAATGGACAAGGAAAATAACGATTTCGGCGCAAGGGTCAAGAGTCCACTTCAACCCCCTTCACATGCCCGTGTCCTCAACGTGTGTCTTGAGACATGCCAGGTTGACTGATCTGGTATCTTTTTGCATCGTACCATTCATTTTTTTTTCTCATTCCAAATTATCTTCCCTGGCATATGACCACCAGCCAAAGAGCAAATTGGCCACAGACATAAGGGGTGTCCCATAGACACATCGCGTACAGTCATAAGGAGTGTCACAAAGACACATCAGCTACAGACATAAGGAGTGTCACAAAGATACATTAGCTACAGACATAAGGAGTGTCACAAAGACACATCAGCTACAGATATAAGGAGTGTCACAAAGACACCTCTGCCATAGATATATATGGAGTGTCCATGATCTTGGAAAGATAAAATGAGAACTCCGTTCAAACAAAAAGCCAAGACTCTGTTAGAAATTACAACTCACAATCAGGAACTCTCGACGAAAGACTTGCTACTGACACATTTTAAGGGACAATGGAAAAACTGAAACAAGGATTTTTAAGACTCAAAAAAATATGTATGATGAATGTAAAAATTTAAAAAAAAAAAAATTCCATTCATTTGGATCAATAAAAATATCTTTTCTTAAATTCCAAATGATGTGCACGACCTCTTTTTCCCTGCCCTGCAACATTTGACACCGATGTGTTCGCAGCATTTCACTATCGGATCCACTCCATTATTACATGTCATTTGTGAGAGACAATCTATAGTCATGTGTCAGAGCCAAACCATGCGGCAGGGACTGACCTGTCTGTATGCTGAAGATCCCAACTGGTCAAGTACACGCTGGGTAAGATGTCCAAGTTGAGGGCCAGCGAACACGTCCTGCAATAGCCAGCCTTGAGACCCTCGCCCCCACTGTACTTCAAGGATAGCACAGCGTCGATGGTCTAGGAGGAAGAAAAGAAAAAACAAAGAATTATAAAACCATCTTTGCCAAAACCTCCACAAACCAAGCTGTCATCTGTTAAAAGCATGATGAGCTACTTTGGTGTTTAAATATGTCATGACCTAAATTGGCTCATTCAATTCCCGCGGGTTACTGGTAATTTTAAAATCTTTATTGGACTGTTCCATACTTTTCAGACCCAGCATGGCCACAGGTCCATATAAAAGAGGCCACTTCTAGATACACTTTTAGAATCCATAGGTCAATGGTGGGAGATACAACAATGCTTATACTCTTCTTAATTACCGCATTGTATTTTCTGATCTTCTATGAAGACAAGCACTACATGCACAGATAGCACCAAAAATTATTTTTTAACAATAAATACTCTATTTTAGAATACAAGAATTTCTCGCAGGCCAATTCAGATACATGGAGTTATTAATTGTAGATGTCCAAACAGGATTTGTCAGAGTGATTCTTCCTTGTACATAATACAAGCAACTTAAGGTACTTCTAGGTGCCCCAAATTCTTCAATGAAACATATCTAAGTATTGGCTACCTTGTCCTTGGCGTCCATGCTCTCAGCCCTTGTCCGACTAGATTGTGACATTGGTGAACCTGAAAAAAAGAAACATATTCACAGGGTCTTTCATCTGCTTTTTTGTCATTCATGATAGCATTACACATTAAATAAAATCCTGACCAATGTATTTACAAAAAAAAATAAAATTGAACGTCTCAAAAGATTTAATAATTAAGAGACGCATGTCTTATAATAAAATGATATTTGAAATTAAAAAACATTTATCAATCCATAGACAATCAATAATATAATTATTATTAAAATAGCTGGATATGGTCTTTCAAAATATAATGGGACTAATACAATATTTTTTGTTACAACCTATGAAATTTTCCACATTATTAAAGTCTGACAACTTAACTTTCAAGTGTGGCGTTTGCTTTAGCTAATGAGTGTAAATTAAAAATATTAAAAACTTACAAAAATAAAATTATACTGGAAAAAAAAAAAAGGCACAACTTGAAATTGATGACAGTTGCTTTAACAACACATATCCTAGGTATACACTAAACTATGTATAATCTGTTGTTTTTTTTTTAAAACTGGGAATTGATCGAATTACGTGTCTGGTTGTTTTACTTAACACACTTTATCTAGGTACTTTGATGATTTGTGCTCATGAGGAACAAACAAACAAACATCCCTGACAATACCAACCACCAAACCAAATAGAAGTTCAAAAGCAAACAAGTTTCATTGACTCACGCAGTGGTTGCTCAGCTGGAACCAGAAAATCACTGTCCCCGTTGATGCACAGGGAGAAGCAGAGCTGATGGTTGGGAAGCAGTGGTAGCTGGGACTGGATGTTTTCATCACCCCAATTCAGTATCCTCTGCAGTGCACCTGGATAGCATAAATGGTAAATAACGTTCAAATCAACGAGGTTAGATTTCAGGAAAGTACCATTTGAAGAGGGAATTAAATACAGTATTTTAGAAAAGAATATAAAATTTTTACATTTGGATAATTAATTATATTTTTTTAATGAAAAAAATTAGGTTATTCAGATGGTGCACATTCATAAAATTCATATTGTAAGGAGTTAGAGTAAAGAACTGACAGTTAAGAAACAATACAAGGCAGAGGGAGAAGTTCTTGAGAAGAAGTAGAAAGAAAGTTAGTATAAAGAGTTAAGTATTTTTTTAAATTGTTTTATTTTTAGTCTTGGAAGATGTAAGAGGAGATGGTGAAGTGGGTTGAAACAAGACTAAAAAAAGGAATAGGGTGGACATGAAAGGTCAGAGGCCACATTTCTGTGGTAAAAATTTTGTTTTAATCGTTGATCATTATCCGAAATGAGTAACCGCGCATAAGGAAACACTGTAGTGAAAACCAACCCAATGTCCCTATCACTTTCCATTCCTGAAATATCTGCAGCGATCATTCAAGATTCAGCGGAGGTCAATGGTGACCTACTGATTATGAAGTGTTGTATTGTTTTTGGTGGTGGGTAAGTGTAAAAAGTTTCAGCTCAATGAGAGATCAGTTAGTAGGTCATTTCTGAGATGCAAGATTCACCCACAAACTAACAAAGAAACGGACAGAACAAACTAAGAAAAAGCGTATATCTATATATATATAAAAGATGCCACTTTTCGTTAACATTATTTTCTGTACCATGAAAAGCATTAAGCTGTTGATTTCGAAAACCTCAAAGCTGTTCAATAAATCTTACTTTGCACATCATTTTTAGAGTTAAGCTTGACTGTTAACTTTTCCAATGGATACTCAGATACATTTTGTACTGTGACAATACATTCAGTGCTGAAAGAAATGTGTAAATTATAAAGAAAATAGTGTCAGTAACATACAACAAATAAGGGACACTGGCTGAGCTTTTTATTATTATTTTGCCATATTTATAGGTAATTATGTAAGGGAGCGGTTCTCAACCTGTGGGGTCGCAACCCCTTTGGGATTCAAATGACCCTTACACAGGGGTCACCTAAGACCCTTGGAAAACACATATGAATTCTCAACGAAAATAATGTTATGGTTAGGGGTCACCACAACATAAGGCGCTGTATTAAAGGGTCGAGGCATTAGGAAGGTTGAGAACCACTGAGCTTAAGTAAAGATGCATTTTTTTCAACTAAAAAAATTAATATGATAAATTGGCTGACCAACAAAAGGGGGAGGCAAACCTAATATGTCGTAAAGCATTGTCACAGACCAACATTTATTCATCTGCGCTAGCCATATTTTTGTTCTGTTTAAAATATGCACATGTTTGAAGAAGAGCCACACCAGAACTTGAAGAAAGGGTTGGCCTAACACTGGGCGGTAATTGAATTTAATGCCCTGTCACTTTATAGTCTCTTCAAAGAAACGCACCAACAACACAATTTCAAACATGTTATATCTGACAATGGGGTGAGTTTACTACTAGATATGTGTGTGTGCAGGATGGTTACCTGCACGGCTGGGGAGGGTAGGGGAAGGTTAAGTATCAGTATCTGATGGAACCAAACTTCAGCATAGCTATTTTCATGAGTCCACAGATGAAAATTAGCATGAATAACAATCAATAGGCAGTGGGATAAAGATTTTTTTTAAACAAAAAAAGGGGGTATCCTCAAACAATGAATGCTTATTATAGCCACTGGTTTAATATGTTGCACATCCGGAAAAAAACTTGGAAATCATTGTGGTTACACTTTTTATAATGAATGAAATGTGATCCAGGATAAGGATATAGAAAATGAATACTTTAAAGTACCTCTGGCCTGCAAACAACACAGCAGAGCCTGTAGTCACCACATCGTCAGCCAGACTCCCTGTGGTGAACACTGTGGACTTTGGCAGGGAACAAGACAGAGCAATCCGTGGCAGCGGGGGCAGGACTTCAAGGACAATGTCTGTTATGGGAGCTGGCTTCAAACTGGTCAGGTCACGTAATCTGCAGTTACTTTTGACACCGCAAACAACAGTTGTATACCCTGAAAGGATGATATATGAGGAACTGCGTTCAATCTCTATGTTACTGCGCTTCTTGTTCTGAACATTGAGCTACATTGACTTTATTGAGATGTTTTCAAAGTTTTTTTTTTTTAATTTAAATTTATCTGTTGTTTATTGTACTTTGTTTTGCCTGCTGAAGAAGGCACCCGGGCCTGCTCAATTGTCTTATCTTTTACTTCCAAGCCTTAACATATCTCCTTTCCACTCACCTCTCACTATACCCTGAGAGGTGATGAGGGTTGTGAATCAGAAAGTTAAAATAGTGAGCTCAGCACGCACAAGAAAACAAAAACAATTATGAAGCAAGAATAAATAAATTTGAATGTAGGGATTTCCATGGGCAATGTAAAACTAATACACCCAATGCTTGGGCGATCCACTTGAAAAATAAAACCTCACTTGTGGCTCCTCCAAAACCATTAGAATGCCAATTCACTGGCTCTGTGATGTTCTCAAATTGTTTCTTGTTTGTTTTTTTTTTTTACACCCCTTCAACACAGCACCCTGGCTCATATTATATACTGAAGTAAACATCCCAAAGACTATCCCCCCCCAAGCCCCACTGTTCCCACTGACCACAGAGGCAACATTGCTGCCCCCCCTTTCTCCTCCCTGCATCATATGTCAATGATGCCGAACTTACCCAAGACTTTGAGCATCCCCACAGCTTTAGGCTTGACCATAAGTTTGACATTCATGAGACCCGATGACGGGGGGATGATCGGGCTGGCTGGGAATATTTCTGTGTCAAGGTCAGCAGTCAGCAAGCCCTAGAGATGATCGTAACAGTGCCATCAAAATGGTTGTAATGGACTTCTTAAAAGACTTTAATTTTTTTCAACTCATTATAGCCTGTAACATGTCATCAGTTGTGAGCCAACCTTTCCCTACCCAGTCATAAGTCTATAAATTTAATTTGGTTATCAGGAATTTGTTTGAAAGAAATTTTTTCTACGGAAAATTGCTCCACGGAAGTTTGATCGAACAGAAATTTGACAGAATTTTATTTTCAGTTCACACAAACTAATTTTGCATCAAAATTCTTTTTGAACGCATTATTTTGTTTTACTATATAGTATATTGCGTTCAAAAAAAAAATTTGACGCAAAATTAAATCGTGCTAACTGAAATAAAAATTCGATAAAATTTCAGTTCTATCAAATTTCTGCCCATGAGAAATTTCTTTCAAACAAGTTTCTGTAACCAAATTTAATTTAAAGACAGTCTTTTAAAACTGAACTGATGGCGGGTGGGGTGTGATCTCATGAACACTGGGTTGTAAATGGACCTGTGCCTAAAACACTAGGAATGACACAGCTCACTACAGTAATGACCTTTTCACTTTCAAGGGTAAAATTGGAGCTACTGAAATTATCATTGAAACAATTTAGGAAAAAAAAAGAGACAGCACAAATCTCGGCCACAAATGTGTGTGGGAGAGTCAATTGGTCAAAGATTACCATGTAAAAGATCTTCAAGTCATCTGCCAGAGGGTTGACAAGCTGAAGAGTAGCTTCACACACATCACCCGACACCCACTTGAAATCTGAAAAACCAGGAGATTTGTTAAGTTGTAAGCATGGCATGGTCAGCTGGGGCATGGTCAGCTGGTATTAATCTAAATATGCAATCGAAGAGGCCAACAATTACTGTGTACAAAATAATATTTACCATTTTGGTAAAAAACTGGTCTCACCTGGTCTGCTCTCGTTTGCCGTCTTGTTACTGAGCACCAAGGGGGTGTAGATGAACACACCCGATGAGCTCTCTACATCTGACAAATCCAGCTTGCTGGCTTGTAAGTGTGGACTTGGGGGCAGTAAGCGAAAGGATCTTGAGGGGGGCAGGAAAGAAAATGGAAGATATTTGGAAATGATCAAAAGGGTCTTGAGGGAAAGAATAAAAGAACTAAATTGCTGATAAAGTTTTGGATGATTTAATTCATTACAGCTGGGGTTCTCAGTTCAAGGTTGACATTTACCATTGTAAAATTTATGTAAAACTGTTCTGCTCACACAAATGTTTGTTGTTTTTTTTGCGTAGGAAAGCTTACCTAACAGTCGGCAGTGACAGGAGAGGAACAGGGGGCAGTATCAGGCCAGTGTCCAGGGCGATAGGCTGGGGGTTGCCAGGACATTTCTGGGTGAGGTTGGACAGGCTCGCTATCGCCTCCCTCTGATCAGTGACGTTGAGGTGCGGCAGCATGGAGTCAACTGTCAACGTCATGTGCCTGAAGGGAAAAAGGTTTAATGTCTAAAACACTTCATTTACAACGGCAGTATTTGAAGTTTAACGGATTGAAACATGGATTTAGTGTATCATAAGCTTCTTTCAACGTCAAGCCATAATTCATTTTAAAAACAATTTATGGATGGATGCCGTCTTTGGAAATCAACAATTCAGGTTTGCAAGGTTTTCAAAAGAATTAAATATTTTTATAATTTTATTTTAAGGATGCCCAAGAAGTGAATTTTTAATTTTTTTTTTTTAAGGTAACAATGACTACAAGTCTAATCAAATAAAGTTATAGAATGTAATGTACCTAAAGTCTTTGAATAATTAGATTTCTTCACAGCAAATAAAATCACATTTAATTTTATTGAATATATTTTATAACCTGCACTATTTCTTTTAAGAGTGAAATATATGTAGAATTTTTTTTTGGACAAAATTATTAGAGACTGTGTTTTATTTCTTCAATAAATTATACCTGACAGCAATTTGTGGATTACTCATCCGTCTGGCTGAGTACACCAGCTCATGAAGGACTCTGTACTGTAGGACGGGCCAGCCAGCAGGATGATCTGTAAGTTAACAAACAATTTAAGCCAAAATGAGGTAATCCTTGGTGTGTAAAAATGAATTGGCACCCAGGTGAAAATAAACTTGCATCTAAATACCCATTTCTTCTACGGCAAAGCCAATGATCAAATGATTATTTTTATATTTATTAATACGAGTACATTTATGAAATGGCCAGGATCAGTTTTCATAAAGTCAAACTGCTGCATGTCAGATGTTCAATCAATAGACAATAAGTAGTTGCAAAACCTAAACAAACAAAAATGTATTGCAGAGAGTGTACTCGTCCAGCATGCTTATTTACATGAGAAACAAAATTTACCATGCAGATTTGGTAAGTATGGTGAGTCTTAGCAAAGAAACCACCTGTGCAGAACTTGTTGAAGTTATCATAAGCATAACAAGAATGGTAAAAAAAAAGCAAGCCACAACCCAAAAAAATTATTGAGTTAATTGTTCTATCTTGATATGAAGACATTCCTACCTCTGTCCATTTCTTTGGGATTGATGGAAAGATTATAACCTTCCAGGCTCTGAAGCAGAAGCTCATAGCACTGGGACCAGCTGGGAGAACTGTCCGGTGCTACACAGTGCATGCCGCAGACCCTGCGAAAAAATGCAGCCTTGCGCCTGAAGCCGATTTCACTGTAGAGCGATGACAACGTGATGTAGCGCTGGATCTGACCAAAAAAAAAAAAAAAATTACAGCAAAATTTTAATTCGATTGCAATCAAAACTTGTTCGATTGCAATCAAAACTTGCACATGTAAAGTGTAATAGAATGTGATAATTACAAGTGTGTACCTATGTTTTTCAAGTGTGTACCTTTGTTTACAAGTGTGTACCTATGTTTTACAAGTGTGTACCTATGTTTTTCAAGTGTGTACCTATGTTTTTCAAGTGTGTACCTATGTTTTTCAAGTGTGTACCTATTAACCTGTCAAATCCAACTCACCCTATCATCCTCAAGTGAGGAGGGATTGATGTAAACAACATTCTGGAGGAAGTCAGAAGCTTCCAGATATTTCTGCAATCAAACAAACATGCATCATTCAAGCTTTCACATAATCTGTGTTAAAATTTCATTCTAGTTCTAGGGTAAGTAACCATTGTTCCATCAAGAATAAAAAGGATGTTAGCATTGAATCTTGATCAACTAACAGGCTTATACCAGCTTTACTATTCTTTTGAAAAAACTTGAAAAAAAAAGAGCTGAAAAATGATCTGGAAGAAAGCCTTCATCCCGAAACACAAGGAGAAATAGTAATAACTCTTGAAAAAAACAAAACTGGTGAGGAGGTGTGATCTAAAGTCAACATTTCGTTATCAACAATCAAAATTTGCTCTTGTCCTCCTGTGTACACCCAGAACCGGTTTTGCATATTACTCACATGCTGCACAATCAAAAAACGACAGGCTTTGAGACACGCTTCCATTTCAACAACAGCGGCATTCTTGAACTGGGGGCCAAAGAAAAAAAAAAAAACGAAACATTTAGAAAAAAAAAAAAAATTTGCGTTTTTAACTGAAAAAATTTTACACAATTATTAAATGTTTTAATTTTTTTAATGCTTTGGCTTTGAGACACGCTTCCATTTCAACAACAGCGGCATTTTTGAACTGGGGGCCAAAGAAAAAAAAAAAAACGAAACATTTAGAAAAAAAAAAAGATTTGCGTTTTTAGCTGAAAAAATTTTACACAATTATTAAATGTATTAATTTTTTTAATGCTTATTTATACTTTATGTAAAAAAAAAACCCAGTCATCTGGCTAATTAAATATGAATGATAACAAAAGCTTAAAAAAAAACATTTTTTGGGGGGTTGGAAATGAAGGCTCACCTTGCTGTAAAGTGTTATGGCTTCTTTGTACTTCTCCACTACATCATCAGTGTTTACACCACCTGAGCTGGACCCCTCAGGTAGAACATCTAGGCCATTGGCATAGCTGGAGCCTGCGTTGAAGAATGCAAGCAATTTTTAGTTTACAAAGTTATCTTTATTTATGACTGATGTAATGGTTTTGTAGAATGAAGAATTTTTCGGCCAAAGGTTGAAAAAAATCAATGATGCGTCTCTGTTTAGATTGTTGGGACTCTGTCAGAACTTTTTTTTGGCCTCAATTTTTTTATCCCATTCGATGGGATTGGTCTTGGTTGACTAGCTTCAAATTTTTTGCAGGTATGGCTTGATCTGGGATCCTCAAACCAGACAATGTGTGCTCTTGCTGTGCATCTAACTCATTCTGAAACCCTAAATTTATTTTTGAAAGTTGCGGTCCTTTAAAAAAAAAAAAAACAAAAAAAAAACCAAAAAAAAACATTTTACAATTAGAAAAATTAAAAAACATCCAAAGTATTTCCCTAGCGTAAAATTCCGCCATCATATACCCCCAAAATTTTTTTTACCTATGCCACCTGTTAGGGTTGTAAAATTATACAACATTGTGAGGGTTAAGTCAGTCAAAGAGAACAATGGGATATAAATTATTTTGGTGTGCAAGAATGAACAATCGTTTTTCAGTTTCAGCCATAAGGGCCAAGGCTATGAAAGAGGAAACATAGAGGAGTATACAAGTGTGCTTAATAAAGAAGCATGGAAATAGTGTACATTTTTTTTACAGTTTGATATTCTAGCTTGGGGATTGAAGACTACATATAAGGAACAAAGGAGAGTTGGAAACTTTGGTAAACTGATTTTTCAACTTACCCGTCCTACTTTTGGTGTCAGGAAGGGCTGAGCTATTAGTTGTTTGGAATGATAAGTTTCTTTTCAAGCCAATTGGCGACATTCTTGGGTAGCCTAATATTACAGCTGCACACGCCAGCCCCTCAAAGCAACCTTAAGAGAGGAAGTTTCTAATTTATTGGCTTCAAAGAGTTAATAAATATCCCTTTAACAAAAATTATTTTTATTAGCAATATTCCATTATTAATCGATTCCATGTTCAAATATTACTGCAAAACATCACTTTAAAGAATGGTCCATCTGGTCAATTTTTTTTTCTCAACACTATGATTGATTGAATCATTCATGCAACAAATACTAACTTCAAAAACAAAAATTAAAAAAACACTTATATATATTGGACATCCCTCGTGTTTCATCTATGCAAAAACCAAAGATGGATTAACATTTTTTTGTGTGTTTAAAAAAAAACCAACAGAAAATGTACAGGTAGAATTTCAAAAACACCTCACCTCCCATCCATAGAAAGTCATTGACAGAGCGCAGTAAATCTAAAGCTGTGTTATAATGAAGTACAGCTTCACCTGGCATCGCTGCCTGCAGACAGAGGTCTCCTAGATGCTTACGTAGTCTGCCCATGCACTTTTTCCTAAAAGATCTGCTCGAGTCAGAATGTTAAAAAAAATAAACTTCAGAAACCTGGTGACTAGAACGTTACATTTTTATGTAACCTAAATTCAGACACCATATATTTATCAAACTCTGTTAAAATACCCAAAAATGCTAAACCCAACTGTCTTGTCTCTGTGCAAAAACTAACTTTAAAACATCAGTGTCATACATCACAGCCATATGTACATATTAAAAATGCCTTAAACACCACTGGCGTATTATTCATACAGAGGAGCACCTAAGTTGTGATGGTAGTTTTAAACTCATCGAGAAAATACCCGAAAGATAAACTGAAATGTTTTGAGAACAAATACCAATACTAGTATAAAAAATACACTTTATTTCAACACATACCAAAATCAACGCATTTAGTTACTTAATTTTAATTGGTGCACAGAAATAAAATTACTTGCTTACTTTGTATCTGTGTCGACACCAACATAGTCTTTCTTCTCAAACGGTGCACACAGCAGTGACAATTTGTCATTTCGTTCAAAAGATCTATCCAACCGCTTGCCCTCCAGAACGTAATACAGGGACGTAACAAACTCCTTGATTCTTTCCTCGAGGTCATTTGAGGTCTCTAGGCTAGGATAAAACACAATTTCAGAACCACTGCTTTCTTTAGTCAAACTGTTACTATGTGGCCTTCTTTCTTCTTGTTTGGGGGTGCTATGTGATTCTGAAGTTCTACTAGGCTCATTCTCATGCACTGATTCGGTTGATGAGGTGAAAACATTATCGAATTTATCACCCTCGGCATGTTCAGCTAACGGTTCTAGAGAGCTTGGGCTGACCACTCTTGGAGCAGCTGGGGGTAAAGATATTTCTTTCGTCGAACCCTGACAGGCACATTTATTTTTGTCACAGTTCTCACAATTCTTGCTCTTTTGAAAATGCAAATCACCTTCATCATTGCCATTAGAATCAACTTTCACTCCCTCGATGGGAGACCCATCAGTATTCATGCCAAAAACTATCAACCTAGAGTTAATAATAGTGGATGCATATTCCTCTTTGATAGATTTATAACTGGTGAATATATCACCAAACTCATCGTGATCCTGACATTTCCCTAGGGTGATGAGGCCAAGTACTTTGCGATGGCCTTGAAAGTCACCCCATGAGTTGAAATCAGGTGAGTAGGATTTCCTGTACTTTATGGTGATGTTTCTTTTTTGACCTTGCACATAGATACGATCCACCCTAGATACTTTCTCAAAGGCACGATTAAAACTTTGAATAGGAAGCTGGGAACCAGTGTGACGCACAAGCACCAGAAGTGACTGGTGATCATCAGCAGTCTGATTGTAGTCTACTGCACTGGCCATGTTTAAGATTTATGCTGCGATGCACATTTCCTTAGTAAATTGCATTTGCCTAGAGATGTAGGACTCGCAACCAACGTTTAGCTATAACCTCAGTGAAGCATAAAGTTTATTAATATTAACAAAGTCCTCCAAATCATAACTTAGTTGACACTGTTGCTGAATAGCATACTAACTATGATGTATATAACTGGTTTATGTTGTCTTTCAAACATAAGTAGTACTTTCAAATTCACTCTGATTTTTATTATCAGTTTGCAGTATGCCATGAAAAACTTGTTTCAAATGACACCATGACCTGGCGAAGATGACCTTACAATCTTGATAAGATTGGCTAAAAGGATTTTCCAAAACTGTGTTATTCAGTAACATCCCTGCAATATTCAATATCAGAAATATGAGCAAATCTAACAATCATTGATCAGTTAAGTAACTTTCAATATGTTCAATTTTATTACATAGAATTTAGGCCTATTACTGAGTTTACTTGTACATGTAGTGTGCTGCACCCATCTAAACCCAAATAAAATAATAAATATTTTCCCAGTATGTGCACGGTATTAGTCAATACTAATCATTATGGTGTGTCCTGAATTTGCAATTTATCAGTGTTACTATTAATTAATTACTAATAAATAGCTTTGGCTTTGCTAATTCAAATAAATGTCCGGTTTCATGTCTTCTTGAGAGCTATGTTAAGAGAGCCCCCCTTAGGCAAAAAAGGTTGTAAAGAGCAGCTTTGGCTTTGCTAATTCAAATAAATGTCCGGTTTCATGTCTTCTTGAGAGCTATGTTAAGAGAGACCCCCTTAGGCAAAAAAGGTTGTAAGGAGCAGCTTTGGCTTTGCTAATTCAAATAAATGTCCGGTTTCATGTCTTCTTGAGAGCTATGTTAAGAGAGACCCCCTTAGGCAAAAAAGGTTGTAAGGAGCAGCTTTGGCTTTGCTAATTCAAATAAATGTCCGGTTTCATGTCTTCTTGAGAGCTATGTTAAGAGAGACCCCCTTAGGCAAAAAAGGTTGTAAGGAGCAGCTTTGGCTTTGCTAATTCAAATAAATGTCCGGTTTCATGTCTTCTTGAGAGCTATGTTAAGAGAGACCCCCTTAGGCAAAAAAGGTTGTAAGGAGCAGCTTTGGCTTTGCATTATCTGAATTTGTATATAAAGTTGTACACCATTTAAAAGGCTTCTTAAAAACTTTTTATTCTATAGGATTGAATGCCTGTTAATAATAGGCCATAGGACTTCTTATAATCTTTAATATAGATATGCTGTACTATAGCCAGCAATAGCCAGCATCCACAAAGACGAGGCAATCTACCTCCTGGGAGATTTCAATGCTAGAGTGGGGAGCGACCAAGAGCCTGGCCCACATGCCTTGGACTCTTTGGAAGAGGAAAGATTAATGAAAATGGACAGAGGCTTCTGGAATTGTGCTGCTCACGAGGCTTGTGTGTGACCAACACTTACTTCAAGTGCAAGGATATACATCAAGTATCTTGGAGACACCCTCGATCCCGCCAATGGCACCAGCTGGACCTCATCATCACCAGGCGTGCACAACTAGCTAGCATCCTACTCACTCGCAGCTATCACAGTGCCGACTGTGACACGGATCACTCCCTTGTCGCCAGCAAGGTACGAATAATGAGGAAAAACTCGTACCACTCCAAGAAAAAGGGACGTCCACGTATCAATACCTTCAGCATGAAAGACCCTGCGCTAACGCAGCTGTTCACAGACAAGGTGAAGGAAGGTATCTCAAGGATGTCCCCATGCGTCACCATTGACTCGAAATGGACGCATCTCAGAGACACAATCTATACATCCGCAATACAGGCCTTTGGCAAAAAATCTCACAAAAACACGGACTGGTTTGATGAACATTGGGACGAGATGAAACCTGTCACTGAAGCCAAAAGGAAAGCTCTTACGGCTTACAAGGAAAAGCCTACACCCGACAGGTTGCATGCCTTAAAAACAGCCAAGTCACTTGCCCAAAAGGTTGCACGTAATTGCGCCAATACCTACTGGCTTAACCTCTGTTCCAGCATACAGTCAGCTGCAGATATGGGCGATGCAAAAGCAATGTACGAAAACATCAAAAAGGCAACTGGCCCCTTGACGTCCAAAGTTGCTCCTCTAAAGTCCAAAAATGGAGAAATTATCCAAGACCGGGCAGCACAGCTAAAACGGTGGGTTGAGCATTATCTGGAATTGTATTCAACAGTTACCACAGTCTCCAGCACCGCTCTAGATGACATACCAGATATGCCACTCATGGAAGAACTTGATGTCGTGCCCTCACAGGAAGAGCTGAGCAAAGCTATTGATAGTCTAGCTTGTGGAAAAGCGCCTGGGGATGATGGAATTCCACCAGAGGCTCTAAAGAGGGGTAAGATAGCTTTACTCCAACCTCTGCTGGAAACAGGGCTACATCCCCCAAGACCTAAAGGATGCAAATATAGTGACACTATATAAAAACAAAGGTGATAGGAGCGATTGCAATAATTATCGCGGCATTTCACTCCTTAGTATTGTAGGAAAGGCCTTTGCCCGTGTCATACTAACACGTTTACAGAGTCTAGCATCCCGTGTCTATCCAGAATCTCAGTGCGGTTTCCGGTCTGGGCGGTCTACCATAGACATGGTGTTCTCCATACGACAGCTCCAGGAAAAATGCAGAGAGCAGCAGATGCCACTGTACATTGCCTTTGTGGACCTTACAAAAGCCTTTGATTACGTCAGTCGCAACGGGCTATTCAAAATACTGGCAAAAATCGGCTGTCCCCCTCACCTACTTGCCATCATCAGAGAGTTCCATGAAAATATGCAGGGTACAGTGCAGTTCGATGGAGCCAAGTCAGAAGCCTTTCCAGTCAGCAGCGGAGTTAAACAAGGTTGTGTACTCGCACCAACACTGTTCGCAATATTCTTCTCTGTACTACTTCGATACGCATTCAAGGATAGCAGTGAGGGAATCTGGTTACACACCAGAGCTGATGGAGGACTTTTCAACACTGCCCGCCTCCGAGCCAAGACCAAAACGACAGATGTCCTAATTCGCGAGCTACTATTTGCGGATGATGCGGCACTAACAGCACACACAGAAATTGGTTTGCAACAACTCGTGTCAAGCTTCTCCAATGCCTGCAAAGAATTTGGTCTGCAAATCAGCTTGAAAAAGACAAACATCATGGCCCAAGACACTCGACCTCCACCTAACATAAAAATCGATAATGAAAACTTGGAGGTTGTGGACAGCTTCACCTACTTGGGGTCCAAGGTCTCCAATACACTGTCCATTGAAGAAGAAATTAACAGCAGAATCGGCAAGGCAGCTGCCACAATGGCTAAACTAAATAAACGGGTCTGGCAAAACACCAAGCTAACGGAGAAAACCAAACTGTGCATCTATCGAGCTTGTGTCATCAGTACACTACTATACGGGAGCGAGACATGGACCACCTATACATCCCAAGAGCGCAACCTTAATAGCTTCCATATGAGATGCCTGCATCGCATCCTTGGTATTAAATGGCAAGAAAAAGTGACTAATAGTGAGGTCCTAATGCGTGCGAATACCCTAAGCATGTTCACAATCCTTAGTGAAAGACGCCTGAGATGGCTAGGTCATGTTAAAAGAATGAGTCCCGGCCGCATTCCGAAAGACCTCCTATATGGTGAACTTGCTGCTTGAAAGAGGAAAACAGGTCGCCCACGTCTGCGATTTAAAGATGTCTGTCAAAGGGACATGAAAGCAGCCAAAATACATACAAGTGACTGGGAGTGTAAGGCAAAAGAACGATCTACGTGGCGCACAGTTGTCAAAGAGGGCGTCATGGTAGCCGAGGAGCGAAGAATGGAAGAGGCTGCAGACAGAAGAGCTAGGAGAAAGGCCAAAACATTTGGAAGCACAGAACTCGTGTGTAAAAACTGTGGTAAAGACTGTCACTCAAGGATAGGACTGCACAGCCACTCGAGAAAATGCAACCCAACCCAACGGTGATGCACCATCGTCTCACGAGACGGAAGGATGCCGATAGTGTACTATAAGATTTGAGTTTTGATACTTTGAGTTTTTATAAGCCTCTTTTTAATAGAACAGATTTGTGAAGAATTGTTATTGATTACGCTAACCTGAAATTTGTTAAGCCTTGGCTTGGGCACCTAGAACTAAATTAAGTCAGTTATTGTGGTAATCTACCATTTCAGAGTCGATTATGAAAAAGTGCTATTTAAACTGTTACTCTTTTATTGAAGTCCATTAGTACTACAGTGGAGAGGGTCACTGGGTTTTATGGTGACATAGAAAGAAAGAATGGGGGCTCTTTTCTCATTGAAGTGCTGGATCGACGTGCGACCACGTTACAGGAGTGCATAGAGAGATGTATCCTTCCAGGCTCACTTATTGTATCAAAAGGATGGGCATCTAATACTAATGCAAACATAAACCAGATCAGACACTGAATTTATGAACACTCGTTGTTTATCAACAACATTTTTTCAATCCAAATGACACTGGTGTACACTCACAGACTGTTGAAAATAGGTGGATGCATGCAAAGGGCAACTGAAAAGACAATTTGGTACAAGCCCTGATCATTTCCCTCCATATTTGCATGAGTATGAGTGCATGCCCCGCAATCGTTTTGGTGGAGATGATATAATATAAACTCAAACTCTTTTTTTCTATTTATATTTTAAATTGTAAATTTTCTACTGTATAATTTATTAAATTGTTTACATTTTTCTATTTTAAAAATGTTTTCTATTAAGAATGTGCTGAAATGAATATGCAGTATGAGTATGTACAATGTCATAAAAAATCATTTCCATTATTAATTTGGATCAATAAAATAATTTTATATTACATTTTAAATATTTTTCAATAAAACAATATAACCATTTAAATATCACTTCAAACCAGAACTGAAACTGGCAGAACAAAATGATTATTTAATATCCAACGCTCAAGTGATAGATTAGTTTTATTTTGTTATTTTCTCTAATGTGGCACACAATTAAAGTTTGTTTTCAGTTCACTGGACTCAACTGGACTGATAATGAGTAATGACTGATGTGATTTTCTTCTTGATTATTTAGTAGTAGTATAAGTTATAGTATAAGTTAGTAGTCAGATTTTAATTTAATAACTTAAGACTTAAGTTTAACAAGACAAGCCCTAGTTGTTCACAACGATGTCTTCAGATATTCTTTTAAATAAAGCATTATAAATATTGATAATTTCATATATTAACAATACTGAAGGTATGTTAAAATAATATTCAAACCCTTTCTAGTTATGTGAAGGGGGAGTGAACAATCATTAAACTTTTATTTTGGTTTCGTCGCCATATTGACTCAGGTGTACAAGTCCATGAAAACCAACGCAAATAAACGCTTTAGAAAAAATGCAATTTGTCCGAAAACAACCGCAAATCGAAACAAGTTTATAAAAATGTTATTTGGTATTCGATTACAATTCCAAAATACAAGGTAAAGTTTCATAACTATTATTAGGCATAAAAACACATTATTTGAGCATTATGGATGTTAATTTATTGTATAAAATCAGTGTGTCAAAAAATTAAATTAGAAATTTTATATGTATAAAAAAGCTTTATATTTATAATATACAATTCGTTGAGTATCTGATTTCGAAAAAATATAGGCATATGTTAGTTTAAATGTTGTAGTATCGCAACCGCTAGAATAAGCAAAATGGCGTCCACCTTGGAAAAGGAAAACGAAAGTAAAGACAAAGATTACGTTCTAGCGAAATCTTTAGGTGGTGGTCCTCTTGGTATAGGTAAGCATATAAAATTTAGAAGAATTAATGGCTGAAATTAAGTTAGAATGCATGATAAGTAATTTAAAAATAAGGCTTAAGTTAAAGTGAGTAATTTGTGAAAGTTAAAGTCAATTCAATATTATTCAATACTCAATTGTCAATACACAATAGTGACAATGTCAATAGGCATACTCAGACTGTGAGTTGAAGAGTGACTGACAGTTTCATTTGAAGTTGAGCGAGATAAAAAATGAAATGATAAGTCAGTCTGAAACTGAACTGCACTGCAATACAATTTACTGAATGTACAAATTTGTAAAAATCGTAAATTCGGTAATCTCATATTTTGGTGGAGTAAATTAACAACCATTGTGGAGGAATGCACATCAATGATGTCATCATTTTATATATACCAACCAATGCCAGTATTGAATACCAGTACAGCTAGTGCTCGACTTACAGCCATGATCAGTTCTGACCGACTGGTCATAACATGATTTGGTCGTAAGTTGAGTACACTATGTGTACAATAATGTGAACAGTGAAAGTGAAGTGATGTTATAAAAATATTTAAGTTAAATTATATTATACATTTCTTTTATTATTGTTATAAATCATAATTTTCGATGTGGTCGTAAAGTTGAATGGTCGTAAGTTGGCTAGGTCGTAAGTCGAGCACTAGCTGTATTGAGTATTGTAATTCAATAATAAAAATCAACAAAAACTCCATAAGTGATAACAGTTGATATATTTTTTCCCCCAAAATTCTTGATAAAAAATTGGAAAACGGTATTGCTATTGCTTAGCATCCAGTTCTCTTTTAAAATGATATATCACACAACCTATTTAACCAAGGATAACAAAAGGCACCTTTTATCTATATAAAAAAGCACTGCATTGTAGTAATTAAAACTATTTTCTGGAACTTATTATTATTAACAAAAATATTATTTTCCTTAGTGCCTCGAGTTTATTATATATAGTTGGACTATATAGATTAAAGGTGCAAAACTAAGCTGTGGTCAAAAGCATACTTTCAAGGGGCGCCACAGCAAGAATAAATCAATGTTTATTTATGGCAAGGTGGACAGAGTCAGAGCTGTAAGAGATATTATGTCAAATTTTGTTGCAGATAGCTGCCCTTTCCCAAAGCCACATGAAAAGCACCCCCCTCCCCCCGTTGGTCATAACTCATGGGCCAACAGACAGAAAGTGGTTTTCCTAACAGGGGACCTCAATGAAATTCTTTTACAAGGTCTTCCTCTCTGTTAAGACGACCCTGCTGGATAGGCCTAGTTTTCAGAATAGGCTTGGATTTGTTTATAATTAAATTTGCACAAATTTTATAAAGGGTTAGAAATCTTTAATTGATGATGATAAAATACAAGATTACCAAACCAATTAATAATGATAAACATTTCATTAGTTGATACTCAGGAGCAGACGAGTAAATTACAATTTTTAAGGCCTAGGCCTACTATTTTTTACATTATTATTTTGTAATTCATTTGAATTTGTGTTTCTCAAATTTAACAACAGGTGATCCAAATGACAGAAGTCTAAGGAAGGCGGAAAGTGAAATCATGATTCCACAAAAAATGAAGTTGAAAGCAAAAACGGAAAGATGTGCAGAAGAAGTGAAAAGTAATTGAAACCATTGCCTCATGACCATAGCAAATAAATTATGAATTCAGTATGAATAGGCCCTATAGGCTTATACTAATATAATTACTATGGCCATGGCTAAAGCTAAATAGCATGAGGATGTTTTTGTTTTAAAATATCTCATGAATACAATTATTGCACAACAATACACATGATTAGTGCTGATATTTTAAAAACATTTGATTAATTTTATATTACATACCATATACCAGTGGCGTAGCTAGGGTTGGTGTCGTCCGGTCTTGTTAGTCAGTCGTGAGTCGACCATGACCACTTTAATCATCAGATTTGTGCTAGTTCTGTCTGTGGGTGCGTAGATTGGCACAAAATTTTCTTGTGCAATATCTGCAAGGGAATGACGAGGCATCACGGGGAGCAGAGTCAGACCGGGCCTTCCTGGCATGTCTCTTGCGCTCTGCAGCCATGGTTCTGCCAACTTCATGTTGCATGGAGCTCCTGTGTAAAGTGGAACGCCATGATGTTCAATCCTCTGATTTTTCCTCCCATGTGTCTGGGTTTAAGTCGAACGCTTTCAGTGAGGCATTTAGGTTGTCTTTAAAACTTTTCTTCTGCCCACCAGCAGACCGCTTTCCTTGTTCGAGCTCAACATAGAAAATTCTTTTGGGCAGATGGTCGTCTGACATTCTCACAACATGTCCGGCCCAGCGAAGCTGCGACTTCATTAAGATGGTAAAGGTGGTGGGGAGACCTTCCTGTGTGAGCACCTCAGTGTCTGGGACTCAGTCCTGCCATTTAATGTTGAGGATTTTTCTGAGTCTTGTTGTATGAAAATGGTTCAGCATTCTTGCATGGTGTTGGTTTACTGTCCACGTTCCACGGGCATATAGAAGCGTAGGGAGAACAGCCGCCTGATATACTTTCAGTTTAGTTTGAGTGCTAATACCTCTCTTGGTCCATTCGTTATTAGTCAATTTACCATAGGTTGCACTGGCTCTTGCAATACGGAGGTTAACCTCTTCACCGATGCTTGCACTTTGGGACAATGTGCTGCCGAAAGAAGAATAGCTATTTACCACCTTAAGACTTTTGCCATATATGTGGATGTTGGGCTCAACAAAAGGTCTTCGAGAAGCTGTTTGGTATTGGACCTCAGTCTTTTTTGTGTTAATGGTGAGCCCGAAGTTTGTGCAAGCATCAGCAAAGTTTGAAGCAAGAAAAGGTAAATTTTAAATAAAGTAAATTTATTGTAAAAATAACTATAACTTAACGTTGTTACAGTTCTTAAATACATGTACCTCTTGATCTTCAATTGATTGTATCTGTTCTTGTCATTTTTATACTGTGGATTTACTTTAACAAGAAGAAATCCCGATGCGGTAAACTCATGTTGTCACCCCCAACTTCTACAATGGATTTCTTGTACTGTTTTAGAACGGGCAATTTAATTAAATAACTGTACTTAACAGCGTTAAGTTATAATTATTTTTTCAATATATTTACTTTATTTAAAATTTACCTTTTCTTGCTGCAAATCTGTCAATCACTTGATCGAAGCCAATATCCTTCACCGGATTACTTTCAATTGATAGCCAGATCAGAAAACATTGACTGTCCCATGGTGGTTCGTAAATAAGTCTTGAAAGCCTTAGTTTTGAAAAGCTCCGCTCACATGAAGCCATAGACACACAGATCGTAAGAAACAATTGAAGGCTTTGCCAGAATATTGGACGACATTTAAGGAAGTCCGATTCAGCAGTGAAAATCAAAACATCACATACAGACCAGTCCAGGACATTGTGAAATTCTATATCAGCTGCCTTTAGGTGCCTTCTAAGCCTTGGTATTTCTTTTAAAAGTTCATCTTCTGAAAACTCATCATAGAAAGAGATTAATAACTCTTCTTAAATGCTGATAGTAGACTTTGGGTTGAACAGCCCCAAACATATCTAGTACTTCCTTGATCTCTGGTGATTTGATCTGGAGTTCAGAATGAAAGTAATCAATACTGCAGCATCTCCCTACTGTTTTCTTTTCTCATAGAGGTTCCAGTCTCCTGCTATTATCATTTTAAACTTTAAAATGCTCCCTACCGAAATTCCATATTGGTCTGATTTTAAAAGTGCCTTTTCAATAGCATGTTCCGCCAAGTGGCAGTGATTCTCGTGCAGAAATAATCTTAAGGCCTCTAAATTGATCACCACTTTGTTAAGAGTAAAGCCTCTTAGTCTGCAGATACTGCTGTGTAAGATAAACTTCCACAAGTAGATCAGCCCAAAGGTAAAGGTAGCAGATAAATTTGAAATCACAGCCCTTGTGTTGTACCTCCAGTATCCAAATTTTCAAGAGAATCACATAGGATTTCATTCGTCCCCCACACATTCATCAAACATATCTTTCATTGTTTTAAAAGCAGCATGATGAGCACTCCAATGTGTTGTTGATAACCTTTTCACCGACATTCCAGTGTTTTCATTCAATTAAAACATCCCATCGATGAGTGGATGCAGCAGAGAATTAAAAAATTGTTTCAAGAGTACTGAAAAATGTACTACATGAAGCATTTTAGGCAAAAGAGTGTCACTTAAGAACGTTACCATACACTTAATCGGCATTGAATTCTTGTCAAAACGGTGTTTCTCTGACCTAGTTATAGGTATCACCTCATTTCTGAGGCATCAACCTCACACTGTTAATAAAGCAAGCATTTGGATTGGTTACATGTATGTAAAAATGATGTGTGATAGGTTATCCTTTCATGAAATTCTGTTAGACCGAGCAGTGTTGGCTCTGTAAATATGCAATTTTTCAATTTGTTGTCACCCCCTGAGATGGTGACACCCAGTGCGGTCCGCAACCCCCTAGCTATGCCACTGCCTACTAGGTATGACTCATGTTGGCACGTATTCAATGAGTCACGTGAGTTATTTTTTTAGCACTAAAAGACATTAAAATAATTATAATCGGTGATTTTTCTAAGTATCAATGGAAAGAACACTGCTTAAAAGAATTGTTGTCCATTTTCCAGAGTTTGGTGAGTGTGCTAAAGAAAAAGGTCTAATGATGCCATTTTTATGCCGGGCTGTTGCGAAAGAAATGGGAAATTGTCTTTCAGCAGCGTAAGTAGAATATTTAAATCAGCACATGAAAATATATTGATACTGATATACAATGAATATGTATATTTACACTTACTGCCATTTAAAAAAAAAAAAAAATTATACTTTGATATCCTTTTTCTTGGAAGATTTTTATGTACATTCGCATATGCAGCATTAAATCATTACCTGGTATGCTGGGTATCATGCTTAGAAAATTCACTGGCAAACAAAATAATAATGCACTCAACTTTTTCAGTTATTCAGATCCATCGTTTGTGGACCAGTGCACCAAAGAGTATCTGGATGAAAGGTCAGAATACAGACGGACAGGGGTGAAAGCAAAGGCAAAAAAGAAAGAGGCAGTGATGTAGATGCTGTGAATGATGGTTGCTGTAATGAGTCATGTGGATGTTTTTTTTCGTGAATGTAAAATATGAGAGTGATTGTCATCAAAGTAAAGCAGAATTAATGGCAAATGATACCTCTTTAAATGCATTATGTTATCTGACTAACAATACTAACATTATCATTAGGATTTACCATGTCAAGCCAACTTTAAAAAAAAAAAAAAAAACAAACTGTATCAGTTGACTGCATGAAAAAAGTAAAATGATCAACATTTAAAAAAAGAAAAAGAAAACATGTTCATATTTTTTTAAATGCATTATGTTATCTGAATAAAAATACTAACATTATCATTAAGATTTACCATGTCAAGCCAAATTTAAAAAAAAAAAAAAAAACAAACTGTATCAGTTGACTGCATGAAAAAAGTAAAATGATCAACATTTAAAAAAAGAAAAAGAAAACATGTTCATATTTGTTTTAAAAAGGAAAGAATGTATTATATAAGATAGTTTTAATGAAAACCATGTTTATTGTTACTGTACTTAAAATGAGTTATTTCACCTGCCACATTCTTTTTTGCATTGATTACACTAAATAATATAATTAACTGAAACTAAATGTGACCAGGATGACTTAAACTAATCAAATAATCTGATTATGGTACCCAGTAATCCCACTAGTATGAATGTTTTAAACAATTTAGGTGTACATATATTTATAAAATTCAGTTCACCAAAATTACATACTGTGTAAAAGAAGTGGGGTGATTTGGATGTTTATAGCCTACATATTTTATAACTATGTTTTCTGTCAAGGACACATTTTAATTATGTTTGATGAAGGTGTTTTCTAAAATCACTCTAAGTTAATTAATCACAGGAAATAATAGTGATAAATAAATGCACTGTATGAGTTTGTTATTGTTTTTGCATACTGACCACTCCATACCCCCCACCCCTTTATAAAATATAATTTAAATTACATTTTGACAAAATGTAAAATTGAGAATTGTATTATGTCTTAATTAATTATGTTAAAATATGTTCTAGATAAAAGATGTTCCCAAACACATTTTTCTTGCCTTGCACTTGCATTAACCAAAAGTCTGTGATTTGTCAACATTTAAAGATTTTATTTTTTTAAGTCACTCAGTTGTTGTGTAATGGGTTTCTGCAGTTCAAATGTGACTTCAGAATTTGTAACCAGGTATAAGATGTTTGAGGCCCCTGTCATAAAAATTAAACACAGAAAATAATTACTTTAATGATTTTCAAGGCTGTGTTATTTCAACTTGTTGTATAAATGAGATATTTTTTAATATATATTTTAATTTTAAAGTTGATTTTGTTATGAGTTCTTGTACCTCTGAGTGTGCTTGAACTTGTTTTAAAAGTGTCCTTTCATATACAAATATGTGTCAACATCTCTGTCTTCATCTCGAGATGGCAGCATAAATTTAAGTGGGTTTGTGACTAGGCTTGAACATACTATCTCATATATTGCTCCCAACTCGACTAGCCTGTGCTGCATAATTTTTTAATTCAAATGACCAATCTGAAATGTGCCCCTGATGTTATCAGTTTGGTACACAAGTGTTGCGAAAGGCCTTGGCTAAAATACAACAGAAATTAAAATTAAAGAGGTGCTGACTGTGCATTCAAAATGAGTTTATGTGGTATTAGTATGTAATGGTAATAATTTAAGCTTAACTAACATAAACAACTGTGGCACAATTGTTTATGTATAAAAACCTTATGAGGGAAACAATGACATATACATAAGGTGGGATTGAACTTAGTCTTAAGATTAACTTTTATACATTTTTAATTCATTATAGTCAAAATTAACATTTATATATTTTAAATTCGTTATAGCCATTATATTCATTCTCAGAAACGGGGAAAATTGGGATTCGATTCATTCTAAATGATATAAATGTGTTTTAAAAATGTGGCGGCATTTCAACAAGTGATTACTTCAGAGTGATTTGGAAATTATTTTTTTTTATGACAGCACACAAATTTCTAAGATTATTCAAAATGTCCTGTTTATGTACAGCAATAACCAAAAAAAAAACCAATTCGGAGCCTTTATAGATTTTTGTGTGGTTTATTTAAAATGTTAGTCAGAACCATTTGTGAAATATTTACAAATTTAACCGCATGTTACTGATCATGTACAACACAAATTTTCCTTCCTTATTTACAATGTAGCGAATTGTCTATGTCTTTTAAATCAATAATTAACAAACATGCAAAGTAGACAACCTAAAAAAAAAAATGTTTTATGTGATATATGTGTCAAAACTTCCAAGGAGTTTAAAATTTAAACATCCCTCAATTCAAAACATTTTACTTTCTTTGGCAGGCATACAGTATCAATGAAGGTAATTTTTCCTGAGTTATTTATGCAAGACCTGCATTAAAAGAGATAGCAAATGTCAAATTAGTTAGTCAGATTTTAGTATTGGGTCTTAAACAGATAATAAAAAATATGTATATATATATATATCAAATAAAAACCTCAGATTATATTTAAATTTTATTTTTTGAATCATAATCTCAAGAATCTATAAATATATATATATATATATATATATATATATTAAATAAAAACCTCAGATTATATTTAAACTTTATTTTTTTAATCATAATCTCAAATTAAAGAAAAATAGGAAATGCAGATTTTTAAAAATATGAACCTAATTCTGGCATGAACAATAAATCATCAGCTCTCAGTGAAGAGACTGTTTCAGATTTATGCAGAAAGAAAAAAAAAGTTGGTTCATATTTGAAAGAAAAAAATAATTCAAGTGGTCAATACTACTAGTACTAGGGCAGCACTAATGGTGAATGGACGTTGCAAAGTTTGTCCTACACACTCAAATTCACATACAGTGCATCTGTTGAAACAATTTAATCTTTATTCTTATTTTTATTGCCAAAAGGTTTAAAAAAACAAACAGAAGTGTAATTAGTTTTTGCATGCATCCAGGCATCATATTGAGACACCGTATGGGGAGTCTGAAGAGCAGACACATTTTATTTCTAATTTGCCTGGAAAATGAAATTATTCCTTATCTGTGAAATCATTTGAAGCAATAAGCTTTTTTGGATTTTTTTTCCGTACCGGTATTGTGAGACATTTTTAACTTGCATCAGCACAGGGGCAGGAATCTGAATAGATTTTATCCAAAGTTGTTTTCAAAATATTCAGTTTTCAATTTAACAATCAGGGAAAAAAAATTTATGTTTGAAAATTAATTTACAAAAGGTTTCCACAGCAAACATGAATCAGCACCAAGAACCTGTGACTTAGATGATCAACATACATGTCACTTGACAAAGCCTAACCGAGCAGTACTTTTGTCTTTCAAAAGTTCATTTTCATATGATAAAGAAATAATATATATTGATAGGGCTCTTTATGTAATAACAATTGTTTTTCCCCCTTTAAATTTTAACATTTCTATTTTTTTTTTTTTTACCTCTATCACATTTAAACTTTTTTCAAGCAAAACCTACCCAGTCAATAAGTGTAAAAAATTATACTACTTGTTTACACTAAATGATCAATACCAAGTATTTCAAATTCAGTACTGTTTTCAATAACTTATTGATCTTGACAAAACTTCAGACTTTTGGGCAGAGGCAACTTTTTTCATGATAATAAATTTAAAATGATTAAGCACATCTGCTGTTGGTAAATCAAAGCATGGTAAAATAAAAAAATAAATCTATCTATATTTTTTCCAAAAGATCCTTTTTAAAATTTCACACATGAGCAATAATAAACATTATTTCTAGTTTAACTACCAGCGAGCTATCATAAGATTATTTCTAAAAATTCTTTCTGCCTGAGGTTAAGAATTGACATAATGGCAGACAGTTTTCTCCAATTATCATAATTATCTTAAAAAAAATGCTTGTCTGGAAATTAGGTTTTAGTTTTTACTCTGTTTAGTGATAATAATAACTGATTCCTTACACCATATTAAATTATTTATTTAATACAGACAATAAAAAAAACAACACAAGGTTATTTGGTTAATTATATCAGAATCAATATAGACTAGCCTAAGAAATATCTTTTCACTTAGGAACCATCAGTTTTACCTCTTGTCAAAACTGCTTTGAACAAACTTATCTGGTTTGATCAAATGCAATGAAAGAAAAAACAACACACTGTGTTCCTAAATTCACTCTCATTCATAGGAAGCATGATATGGGCAATAACACTGTTTATTTAAACAAATACCAGGCACTTTTCATTGGTAAACAAACAAGATGACTTCAAATGCAAAACTTTCATAATTTACCTTACTTTCTCCATGGATCTAGCTACATACCTGCCAACTATATGATACCTGAACCCTTAAGGTATCCCCAAACACGCACAAAAGTATCACTATAAAGTATTAAGAAACATAGTGAAAACAATAAAGATGACAGACACAGAGAAATGATATGGATCCTGTTTATTCACAAGAAGTAAACCACCAGGACCTACTTTGTTGGGGTGTGGGGAAATTTTATGTATTTTCACATGAAGGTGAGTCCCATGAATTTAAGGTACGGTAAGTATTTTCTACAAAATAAAGATTCACGTTGATAAAGATTCTTAGGACTTCAAACATTGCTAACAAGTCTGTAGCATTATACCAAGAGTTATCATTTGATAACTTTTCTTCCACAGACTACTTTGATTTGTGTACCTTAATTATTGATTGTTCATTCTTGCATACCAAAATAATTTATAGAATCACACGCGCCCAATCTGCTCTTCTAAAATCGTTTGCTAGGTGGGGGCATCAGTTTGGAAGGGTCTGGTTGCCATCTATCTCTCTCTATGACACGCAACAAAAGTTCCTTGGTCACAGGATGCTGTATACTGCCACAAACACCTTGAAAACAAAAAATTTAGGTTATTTAATAATAATTTGTTCCTGTAATTTTAATATGTGGCTCACTCACATTGCCCCAATTGTTCTCTTTGTTTGACTTAACCCTCACAATGTTGACTTAACCCTCACAATGTTGACTTAACCCTCACAATGTTGACTTAACCCTCACAATGTTAACCCTCACAATGTTGACTTAACCCTCACAATGTTGTATAATTTAACAACCCTAACAGGTGAGCATAGGTACAAATTTTTTTTTTTGCAGGGGGGGGGGGGGGGGGGGGGTTTATGATGGCTGAATTTTTCGCTAGAGAAATACTTTGGATGTCTTTTTAATTGTTCTAATTGTAAAATGTTGTCTTCGTTGAAATATGTATTGATTTATGTGCTGAAAATAAATATGTACAATGTAATAAAAAAAAAATTTTCAATTTTTTTTTTAATCAATAAAAGAATCTCATCTTATTTGATATAATTTGTATGAGAAATCTAAGTGCGGGTCTACTTTTTGTACTGTATCCAGCATCTACAAAGTATTAAGGTTATGTAGCCTACTTTCCTACAAAAAAGCTCAGATTTTCCGAAAGCGGATTATCTGTAGCGTCAGTTATCTGAATGGCCCCTATTTTATTTTTAAAAATCTTCCACAATGTATTATATTTTGTATAGATATGATGCAAAAATAGAGGTAACAAAACAAAACAATAACTTGTTTTGACAGTTCAAAAGTGTACCCTTCACCAGGGGTCAAGGTCTAGAAAAAGTGTGGGGGAACTCAGCCAAGAATCCCCCCTCTCGAAATAAATATGTATTTATTTATTTAGAAAAAGAAACAAAACAGGAACGACCCATTCCCAGATGTTCCTACAGCACTCAAGCCCTCCACTTTGCTAAAATTAAATTTAAAAAAAAAAGTTATTTAATAATAATGTACAAAATATTTTAAATATCAAATGATTATATGATTTCAAAGGGTAACAAGAACCCATTCTATTATACTACATCTTAATAAAGAACATAAATTATTGTCCTACACATACTGTATGGTGTCAGAAGATTGTTACCGATAAGAAAGGTACCGATAAGGATTTGATTTTTTTTTTCCTAAAAAAAGCTGCTGTCTTCAAAAAATTGATAACAGGCGCTGAGAATAAAATCACAGGTCACTTGTTCTTGGTAAGATAAGATGGACAAGATGTTTTTGTTTTTTTTATCCAAATAAATTGAATTTTTTTTTGATGGTATTGCATGTATTGATTTTCACTTTCGGTCTTGAAAGTCTTTGTGTTTCCATTGTTCCCAGCAAAGTGTTAGGTGAATCAGTGGCGTAGCGAGGGGGGTGCGGACCGCACCGGGTGACACCATTTTAAGGGTAACACCCACATTAAAAACTGCATATTTACAGAGCACACACTGTTGTTCTGACCCACATTCATAAAAGAAAAACCGAATATACATACATTTTTCACAAATCTAACCAATCCCAATGCGTGCTTTATTAAAAGTTCAAGGTTGCTTCGTCAGAAATGAGATGACCCTATGTTTAGGTTAGAAAACACATTCATTATTCCACACCGATTGAAGTGTTTGGTAACTTCAGTAAGTGACAAGAGGCTATATTTATCTAAATTCTGAGAAATAGGGCTTTCCATTGATACCAAATACGGTGCAGTGGGGCGATTCTAAGCATAATAATCGGTACAAAATAAAAATATTAAACATGAATTTTTACCCATTTATAGGGTTCAAAATTTGTTATTTTACACAATTTTCAACTTTTTAATGATTCATTCTTATTTAAATTTAAATAAAGATTTTTTTTTCCAAAAGACATATATAATAGTATACATCAAAACCCAGAAATACTCAAAAATTAATATTTTCCATGATTCGTCATTAGTTTTGCGGTAGTGGTTGGTTTATTCACTAGTCAGTCAGAAATTGTATTGTTTTTGCTGCAGATTGTTTGCTGTTAATGTTACAGAAACTACATCTAAATGTGTTACTGGCTTTGATAAGTGGTGGAAACTGAGCCCAAAATTACAAAATCATGAGGCATCGGAAGAGCACCTATGTTACCTTGAAAAGTTTAAAGCATTGGCAGCAGGACTTAGGATACACAAAACAATTGATGCCGAAAGTATTGCTGTGATGGACATGGAGAACAAAAAGTGAATGCATATCCTGCACAGGTTACTGGATATCACATTGTTTCTTGCAAAGTAAAATCTGGCATTACGTGGCCACAACGAAGCTAAATCTTCAGTGAAACTTTCTTGAAATGGTTGAGATGCTATCTAAATATGGCCCAGAGCTAAAAGAGCACCAAATGAGACTAAAGAGGACTACATCTACATAAAAAGCATCTGCATCTTACCTTTCACCAAAAACCAAAATGAATTTAAAAATGTCATTCCAAATCATGTGAAGGAGACTCTTATCATGGATATAAAGGTTGTGAGGTACTTTGGAATTATGTTAGAAAGTACACCTGATATATCACACACTGACCACATGTCTGAAGTGATCATATAAGTGAAAATCCACAATGGGAAAGTTGAAGTGAGAGAAGTGTTTCTTGCATTTTTCCCATTAAGAGGGAAAAAAGCTGATGACCTCAGGTCTGAAATTCTTACAAATCTAAAACGTGATGAAACAGACATAATGGTGTTTAGAACTATAGGTTACGATAACGCTGCCACAATGTCTGGAATCCATGGAGGTGTTGAGCCCATTCTGAAATTAAATAATAAGAAAGCAATTTTTAATGGATGTGTGGGCCATTCACTTAACTGGTTTGGTCAACACTCTTTTGCAGAAAATGCTTTACTTCATGTATTACATTTTCAGTACTCTTCAAAGAATATTTTTCTTCTTTGCTGCATCCACTCATCGATGGAATGTTCTAATTGAACACACTGAAATGCCATTGAAAAGACTGTCAACAGCGCATTAAAGTGCTCATCGTGCTGCTGTTAAAACAGAGAAAGATGAGTTTTGATGAATGTGTGGCGGTGATTAAAGCTCTGTATAATCCTCTTGAAATTTTTTAATACAAGAGGTACTGCACAAGGTCTTTTACATGCGGTCTGTGATTTCAGGTTTATCTGCTACATTTACCTTTGGGCTGATCTAGAGGAAGTTAATCTTACACAGCAGTATCAGCAGGCTAAAGGCTTTACTCTTGACAAAGTAGTGACAAACCTAGAGGCCTTAAGATTGTTTCTGCACGAGAAGCGCCGCCACTCAGTGTGGAACATGCTATAGAAAAGCCACTTTTAAAATCAGACCACTAAGGAATTTCGGTAGAGAGAAGATTAATGTTGAAGAAGAGAATGGCAGTAGAACAATTAATGGGTGCTGGACTCTTTCTGCGAGAGAAAACAGTAGGGGAGATGCTGGAGTGTATTGATCGCTTTCATTTTGAACTCCAGATCAGATCATCAGCGATCGAGGAAGTAGCAGATATGCTTAGGGCTGTTCAACCCAAGAGTCTGGTATCAGCAAGTGAAGAAGAGTTATTTGTGTCCGTTTCAAAATTAACTTCTTTCTATGATGAGTTATCAGAAGATGGACTTTTAAAAGAAATACCAAGGCTTAGACGACATCTAAAGGCAGCTGATATTGAATTTCACAAAGTCATTGACTGGTCAGTATTTGATGTTCTTAAATTCATAGCTGAATGGGAATTCCTCGAATGTCCTCCAATACCCTGGCTAAGCCTTTAATTCTGTTCTTACGATATGTGTGTGTAAGGCTTCAGGTGAGCGGAGCTTTTCAAAACTAAGGTTTATCAAAAATATTAATGATCCACCGTGGGAGAGACTAGGCTTTCTGATGTGGCTCTGCCATCAATTGGAAGTGATACAATGGAATGACATTGATTTTGATCAAGTGATTGTCAGGTTTGCAGCTTTAAAGACCAGGAAAGGACAATTTTAAATAAAGTAAATGTAATGAAAAACTAACTATAACTTAACGTTGTTACAGTTTTTAAATACATTGACCTCATGACCTTCGATTTATATGTTTTTGTTCTTGTCATTGTTATACTGTGGACTTAATTCAACAAAAAGGAATCCATCATGGATTTGTGTGTGTGTGTGTGTGGGGGGGTGTGTGGTGGTGACACCATGAGTTTACCACACCGGGTGACACCAACCCTAGCTACGCCACTGAGGTGAATCTTTGTGTGGTCAGAGTATGTGTCGCAATATATATTAATCAACAAGTTTGCAGATTGCATCATCCCAGACAGGTCACTTCATGTAGCCTTCACTCCTACAGTAAGTATCTATATTTTATCTGCATTGTGCGGTAGGGATCTGACTAGTTTTTCTGTGTTGTATGGATGTGAGATGTGCTCTCTGCCATGCACATTAATAACGATAATGATAATAATATTGATAACATAGGGGCCATTCAGAAAATCAGCGCTCTACTGCACTATTTTACAAACTTAACCTAAATAATGTTTAATACTGAATGCCGAACAGAATGTGTACTTAGAGTGAGAATTTTCATACAAAGTATATGAAAGTGACAATTGTACCAAGCTGCACGCTAAGTGTGTAAAATATCTTGACCTGAAATCTCATGAACTAGAGAAGATTTATTGCTAAAATTTGGGCTAAATATCTAGCACAAAAATTTAGAGATGTCAAGAAATAACAGGTCTCTACAATTCCTGCCTAGAGAAAAAATTTTAAAGCAATTTAAAAAATGCAAAAGTTACAAATTTTAGTTAACACGACAAGGGTTTAAAAAAAAAAAAGTAAAATACACTACAGCAATGCCATTATTTGCCAATTGGTTCTTCAATTGGTTGTTTGCGTTTGCCAGTTGTTAAGGCGATTTTTTTTGTGTCAACCATGGCAAATCTTTAGCATTATGAGATTAAAATATGAAATTATGTATCAAAGCCATAATTAAAAACCAGGCTAGAATTTCAGGGGAAGAGTATGATTTTGAATAAACGGTCATAATCAAAATTTGTCTCTTAAACATTCATTTTCTTTTCTTCATCCTTTACAACATTAGATAAAAAAAAATATCCCAAAATCTTGTTGAGGCCACACAACAAAGATGATAATTTAATTTTTTTTTTTTTTTTACAACAGCCCATCTCTGACTAAACTCAAGCCTTCTTACCCATAGCGGTGTTGTAACTGTTTGGGAATGACTTGTCTGTCCTCTCTTTGAGAAACTTCCAGGATTGACCATCAAATGTGCACTCTATGATCTTGTTGTCATATTGCTTGAGCTCTTTTGTTACCTACATATTTTCCCGTCATTTAAAATAAGGGGGAAAAATTGTGAAAATTTAAAAAAAAATAATTTCTAATTTAAAAAAAAAAAAAGAGAATGATCTTGGAAAGACAAGTAAAGGTGTGCGGCCAAAGATTTTAGAAAACCACCAGCATATTGCATAATGGTAGCAAGATAGAAAATTAACAATGAGACCCTAAGGAAAATAAAAAAAATACAGGCCCATTTAAAATAGGAAGACTCCTTACAATAAAAATAAGCATAATAAACTTAAAATTGACAGATAATTTGAGATAATCTGATAAAACTGAACATCACTACAAAAACTCCCAGTTCACAGAGGTGCAAATATTCAGTAATAAAAAACATGCAGCATAAAGTTAATTAATTTATTTTTCAGTAGCATTTTTCCGTGGCAGACAATACAAAAGAGGTGGGAGACTTAAACCCTGTGTCATTTTTTTAGGCACATATTACAGACCCTTTTTTTTTTCTTCAAAGGGAAATTTTAGCCATTTGAATCATGATTAACTTTTTTTTCTGGAACAGATCTTAACATTATTACCAAATACTATTAAAAAACAGAATCAGAAATAGCAGGGACAAAAGATATTTTGTATTGCATTGATTTTGGGTGAATACAAACCTTGATCTCCGCAAATGGTGGTTCAAACTGCCCCACAAACAACAAGCCCTTAGTCTCTGGTAACATTCTGTGGATTTGTGAGAAACAAATTGAAATAAAAATATATTTTCATTTATATGCACACAGTAGTGGCCTATTTAAAAAAAATAACAATGAGACTAAGTTTTTAAGTTTTTATTCATAATTTTGACATTGTATTTATATAATGTTTAGAACAATTTTTTTTAAAAACATTCTTATTTCCAAGCAGAAAAATAGTATTTTAAGTGTCCTTGTACTTGTAGCGGTTTCTGATTTTTAAAAATCCTTTATATTAACTGTTTTTGTATGTGTGTTTGTGGCAAAATCTTCAGACGGCTAATTGACTCACTTCCGTCATCCTATCGAACTGAAAATGGCACATTGACTCAGTGCCGATGACTTATTCTATCAAATTTTCAGCCCCAACCCTCCAAAAAATCAGTTTTTTAAAGGGGAAGATGAAAACAATATGATCTATTCTTTGGTGTGGAGATTAATTGTGTAGCTGTTGCTTTGCGCTCTTTATTTTTGCATATTTGTGTTTAAATTTAAATACAGCTTTAGTCTATTAGGTTTTATGCAATAAGTCTGATAAAAACCATTCCCTTACCAAAAAATTGGTCGCTACAATCACATAAATGATAAACCATTTAAAGTTTGCATAAATGAGTGCAAACAAAAATACAAATAAAGGATTTATTCGAAATACTTTGTTTTTTAGAGGTTTGTTTAATTTCACCCTCCTTTGTTTCAGGGAGTTGGGAAAGAAAATCAACAAAATTAAGTTTCCATTAGCTTGACCCAAGATATATCATGTCCATGTTAGTAGGTTGATTAGTGTGTTCATTGCCGTGATGGAATTTTTACATATTGCCCATAGAATAGAAGGCATGGCAATTTAAATAGATGGCAGCACTGATGAAGTTACCATCAAATAAAAATAATTCTCTTCAAAATACATGTTATGTAAATATAAAATTGCAGAATAACATCCTTTTGTTGATATTTCCTATCACTTTTATCAGTGACATTATTTTTTATAAAAATTACAGTCACTGTAAATATTATAACTCAAGACAAGCACACCTTTGAATTGCACATTTCGTCTTCTCCATTGTTTCTAAATACCTAAGTATGGCAGTATTCTTCATTTTGTTGAATAGTAAAAACCCAAAATACCAAGCGCTACAAATCTAACATAGAGCAGCATATTTGATTACACCCTAATGACTTAAGGTAGAAAAAAAATTGTAATTATAAAAAAGCATTTTACCCCACTTGTTGAAAACGATTTATCTTCAGTCTGAAGTCCACGGAGTTGAGACTAGGCGGCTTCCATTTTAGAATATCTGGACATCTTCCACAAACATATGGCTTCGAAAAGAGATTTAAATATGTGATGTAGAGTGGATATTTAAGTAATTTGTCATTGATATACATATAAGATTAGTCAGTTCATATTTAAACACGTAAATTTAGTGAAATTTATTCTTGCTTGTACAAGCTTTTATTTGTGTTTTAAAAAAATATCAGACAAGCATTTTTTTCACAAAGAATCATAGCAGCTTTTGAAATGAAATAGTCACTATTATTTAGACCAAAATTCAAATTAAAAAAGGGCAATATCTGAAGTTCAATTGGTAAAACTGTAAAAAAAAATAGAGTCTATTTTCTAAAAGCATTATTGGACTGATTTTTGGGTTAAGGTTGACACCAGTGTCAGGCCCTCAAAGCACAGGCCACACCCTTAGAAAGCTACAGCACTGGCAAGGAGGGAATGGAAAGCTCACCTCGGCACCAGGTTGGAAGATGAGACCATCAACTTCATGACATAACGACTTGGCAAACTTGCCATCAAGTATCTGTTGGGGAACAATGGCAATAAAACGTACTTACTTGTCTGCTGGAACCTGCACATGTACAACTTTTCATGGAGGTATAAAGTTCTGACTTGTAATTATTTCATTTATTTATCTAACGATAAAACTGGATGAGTTAAGAAAATAACAATAAATTGTAGATTTATTAATTCTTATATAGAAATGATAACCTGAATGACTAGTGACATCACTTATTAAACCTTTGAAAGACTCTAACAATGATACAAATGTCACACTACTTATTAAACCCTTGAAAGACTATACTATAACACTAATACCAATGTGACACTACTGATTAAACCCTTCAATGACTATACTATAACAATAATACCAATGTGACACTACTGCTTAATCCCTTGAATGGCTTACCTTTTGTGACATCGTAATATCGAAGAAGTTTTTCAACCTCACACTAAATGGCTCTTTGGATTTGTCCAGGGTGCCCTGCTTCATCTTTTCATATCTTGGCCCAATTATTTCCTTCTCAATGCACAACAACCGACGATCGAAGTCTGTTTTGCCCACGTCTAAACCCTTTTTGATCAGAATAGAATTAGTTGATACAAACCATTTTTTTCCCTCATCAACATCTAAACCACAACTTTGGGAGTCAGAGTGCAGTAGATAACTTATCCATTGTCTGTGTCAAGTGAAATTGTACACATTTCTCAGACTTGCATTGTTTTCAATTGTTAGAGACATGTTTTAATTTTGGATAATGATTTCTAGACAATACTAGGATGAGGACCTCGAGTCAGATAGATTCATTAACCCTGCAAGTATGATATGTGAATTAGTGGTTCTCAAAGTGAATGGCGGGTGGGGGCAATTTTTTTAAACATAAAATTTTCATACCAAAATTATATATTTAAAGCAAGAAATTGCAACTTTGATTGACAGATTTAAATCATTTTCCTTTTTGGGACAAACCAATCGGAGAAAAGACCTTTGATATTAGTTTCAAATTTCAAAGTCATTTTTGAGTAGTAGCGGTACAGTCACACACATTTTTTAAAAGGTTAAATACACACCTCAAACTTAATGATGTCATACACCAGATACCTGGGAATGTCCTTTCCTTCTACCTTGTCGATGATCAACTCCTGAAAGTAAACAGACAGTTGGATTCATGATTGGAATTAATTTCTTGATATTTAGATCATGAGATAGAATTGATTACAGCTTACAGAATGTTGGTTTATTTAAAGTTTGGATGATTAAGGGTTTTCAAATGTCACATCTGCTCAAGAGTAATAAAGATGTTTCAACTGCAACCAAGAGGGCTTCTTAATTGTCAAAATGCAAATCTACTCAAATTTTTTACCACAAATTATCTCAGTTTATTTGACAATGCAGAAGTTTCAAATATTAAAATACCCCCTCCCCATAACTCCTAAACTGAACCTGTGATTGGCAGGCACACTGTTATCTTCATTAGGAAATTTGATCCCCACCCCACCCCTCCTTCAAACCAAATGTTAACACATGGACTTGCTTTGCAGACAACCACAAGACGCCATTACCCAGGTGGAGTTGTGGGGGTAACACTATCATTGCGCTCGGTTGATCTTACCCCATCCAGCAATGTGTTGGCTAGAGCTGCGTTGAGATCTTTTCTCTTATAGAAATTCAGGTGAGGCACATGAAAAACACAGTTGTCCCTGTCAATCATATAAATTTCATCTTTCCCATCGACCAGCATCATGTACCTACAAGTGAGAAACGAACACATATTCACTATTACTACTACTAATGAATTTTAAGTTTTATAATGGGCAAACTGGCATTAACACAGATCTCAAATCTAAAGCCCCCTAAGCTACTTCCTCGGGATTTCAAACTGACTGATGTCATGGATTTTAATAATCAGTAATGAATAAAAACAGACGTTAGGTTGTTTGAGACTCCAGACAAAGCTGAAACTTGACTCCATGATAAATTCATAAAAACAGTGTGGAATTAATTGGCTCTAAATAAAACCTAGGTACTAAGTTGAATTTATCCCGTAATAGCATAGCTTGGAGCTGATCTAAGGTTGAGCTTCACCACACAAGTTGAACCGCTAGTTCCATTTCTATGAACGTGGTAAAACCTATCATCTTATGACAATGCTAAATTTATAGCAACAGTATCTCCGGACCTGACACAGTACTACGAGAGGCTTTACCGTGTTCCATCTGCCTTCCAGCTAACTTTGTAGGGCTTTTGTGTGAGAAACTTGAGATTAGTTACATCCATGGAAACTGGCTGAGACCCTGGGAATCCAGAGCTGTACAGAAAAGAAAAAAAAACATGCATGACATAGGTTGCAGGTATATATATATATATATATATGTTATTAAAATTTTAAGAAAGAATTATTGGAAATCATTTTTCTCATGAAATACAAAACAGTTATAGTCACTTTAAACTATTTGCACAACAGAAATTCACCACCAGGAAAGCTTTGTTGTTGTTGAATTATGACCTGAGATAATCCATTTTTATGAAAAATATTTTTATAGACAATACATGGTACTTCTAAATTTATAAAAAATGCATGAGGTAAATATGAATTATCTCTAAATCATATATATTTTTGATTCAAATGATAACAGAGTCAGAGGCGTCACAACTTTTTGCCCCCCCCCGGGCACTTTTTTGTTTAGTTTCCCCAGCGTTTAAAATAAATAGTTTCATCCCCCCCCCCCAACTTTATGGCCCCTTTAATACCGAGGGTCCTGCGGCTGCAGGCGTCACAGGGCCCATGCGACCGCCCTGCCGATAATTACATGTAAAACGATTTTCTGGTCACTCATTACAATAAAATTTGTGTCGAATTTACAACAAAAATAAAAAACACCCATCAAAGACCGCAGAATTTGATCGAGCAAGAAAAAAAGTAACTCTGTTTTTTGAGCAGCTTTACATCACACAATTTTCACTGTTTTGATGTTTTTCCCTCTGTAAAGCTTTAACATACCTTTTTTTCTCTTCTTCTTCTTCTTCCCATAAGGCATGTACAATTGTTCTTTTACACTACCTTTTCCAGCCTGCCATGGTTTGGCACTTTCGTTGTACTTGTGAAAGCCGTGGTTGGGTTGTGACTTGAATAATTCCCTTGACCCCTTCCATGAACTTTGCATCCTAGCAGGAATAAAGTGTTTGTAGAAACACGGTTAAATGTGGATATTTTACATGGCTTTGGTGTGTTTTAAAAGAAAAAAAAAAGAAAAATCGGAATAAATTTGACAAACTGTTCTAATAGCTAAGAAATTTTTATATTTTAATTTATCCAATTAATTTTTTTTTTATATTCAAGCTGGGAATTAATAGAGATTTGTTTAACATGTTTTACATAATATATCATTGATATTGTTTTCTAAGTTGTATAACATAGTACACCCTCAAGTGAGAAGAGATCAAAACAGGTTTGACTTTAACCCAGCACATGGTTAGTATAGCAATGTTTAGTCTCTATGCTTCCTTGATAGAATCAACTTTAAAAGAAAAAAAAATAATTAATTTTAATTTAGTTTACACAACTTCAGAACAAATAAATATTGAATGCTAACTATATTAACATTACAATAAATCTGAATGAAGTTGCTGTTTTAAAAATGTAGACACGATAAATGCAAGATTCACCTTTTTCACAAATTCTCTTCTACGCTTCTCTCCTTTAGCCTCTCCTTCATCACCATTCGCCTCTCTGCTACCTTTACCATCATCATCAACTTCTGTGTCATCACTCTCTGAACATAAATATTTTTGGAATGCAACATTCAGCAAAGATAAACATTTACACTGGTCACTGGTACAGAGTCATGATCACAGCATATGACAGCCAGGTATGGTCTTGCCATTGCATCCACTCTAAATTAATCTTTAAAATCATACATCATCATTGTTTTCACTTAAATAGGATAATTTTGGGGGGGTGGTCACTGAAATCAGATTTGGTAAAAGGAAATAGGTAATAAAATGTGGGGAATGCATGAAAAAGAAAGACATAATGAGACTATAGATGAGTCAGCAAATGGGTTTGTGGAGATCTGAGAAACTTTGGTCTATGAAAATTTTGCTTCACCTGTTTGATTGTATCAGTGTCAGTTGTGCGGATAACATGTCCACCATCTTTTGTGCATTATTTTAAGGAGTAATGTTAACTTGGTTAACATCTTTTTGGAATTACTGAAAGATACTGTACATTTTTATACATGAAGATATGCTGATCATTAAGTGACATTTGTAGTTAATAAGGCTCTTAATTGAACAAACATACTATAACTGGCCTCAGTGATGAATCCGACTAACAAACAACTGTACTTTGCTTTAGTGATTAATCTAATCAACAAACAACCATAGTTTGCTTTAGTGATGAATCTAATCAACAAACAACCATACTTTGCTTTAGTGATGAATCTAATCAACAAACAACCATATTTTGCTTTAGTGATGAATCTAATCAACAAACAACCATACTTTGCTTTAGTGATGAATCTAATCAACAAACAACCATACTTTGCTTTAGTGATGAATCTAATCAACAAACAACCATACTTTGCTTTAGTGATGAATCTAATCAACAAACAACCATACTTTGCTTTAGTGATGAATTTAACTAACAAACAACTATACTTTGCTTTAGTGATGAATCTAATCAACAAACAACTATACTTTGCTTTAGTGATGAATCTAACTAACAAACAACTATACTTTGCTTTAGTGATGAATCTAATCAACAAACAAACATACTTTGCTTTAGTGATGAATCTAACTAACAAACAACTATACTTTGCTTTAGTGATGAATCTAATCAACAAACAACCATACTTTGCCTCAGTGATGAATCTAGCCAACATCTTTATGGTATAACTGAGAAGCACTGCACTTGTATATATGATCATTGTCTTCTTACAAAATTAAGTACCTTTGAGTTAAGGCTCTTGGTGTGGTAGTAGGTCAGTTCATCAACAGCCAATTCATAAATGAATACACTTCATCAACAAAACATTTCATCACCAGAAATTTTGATACACTATTCATTGACAGATAAAAACCATTGACATAGACACTTCATAGACAGACAGAAAATCAACATGGAATCTTCATCCACTGACAGTTTAAATAAAAGATGTGCATTGATGTCTGTAACAATGGTGGAAACTCAGAAAAATGACTCCTTTCGCGGCCAGGGACCCAGGTGTATTGTTTCCTAATTTAAGCTACATAAATTCAAGTACAAATATAGATTTCTATGCCAAACCTAGTAGGCATACTCATTACCCAGAATGAAATCACACAGGATTTAAATTTATCCACTCCATTTCGCTGGCGATATCTTTGGAGTTTCTTGACCAATTTTAAAGGGACGTCTTTAAGAATTTAACTTACACATCTATTCAAATGATTTCGATAGACCCCAATTTGTCGAGATCATTAGAAAGCATCTTATGGGATGGCGCCCTCGTAATCTGTGACCACTCTTTCAATTGACTGTGGAACTCCAGGATTGGTTCATCAAGCGCTACCATCAGAGTCTTCTTCAGTAAAACAATACACATATAGACAAAATCTAATCCTCCACCTAGCGCAACCAACATCTTTAGGGAACTTTTTTTTTATTATCGAAGGTCAATATTAAAATTCATCCTTTCAATGAGGAATAATTTCTTTCTTTCAATAGTAAAGCTGGAGATCAAGAGCCAATTCTGATTTTTTTCTAATGAATGAAATCTAAATGTGTTACTAAACTTTTAATTAAAATGGTACGATAGAATTTTATGCCTTTTCCCATTGGTTTACATACTATTTCACAACTAAAGATCAACTCAAAGCCCTGCACTAAAGTAGATCAAGACAAGATCAAATTAAAGGTGCGCTTTGGAGCAGTTTAAGACAAGATCAACTTAGAGGTGTGCATTGAAGGAGCTCAAGACAAGATCAACTTAGAGGTGTGCATTGGAGCAGCTCAAGACAAGGTCAACTTAAAGGGGTGCATTGGAGCAACTCAAGACAAGGTCAACTTATAAGTGTGCAATGGAGCAGCTCAAGACAAGATCAACTTATAGGTGTTCAATGGAGCAGCTCAATACCCTCAAGCAGCTCTCTTGGGAGAATTTTCAGAATTTTTTTTTTTTTTTTTGAGGATATTAAAATTAGAGGTTCATCTATTACTTTGGACAATTCGTTTGAAGAAGAAATTCAAGGAAAAAGCCCAACCCTTCCGATTCGAGATATAATTCAGGCATTAGGAGATTGTTCTAACTAATACAGCATTTTAACAAATTGCAAAAGGAGACATTTTTCAGCCATGGTTAGATTTCTTCGAAGATGTATAATTGTATTGGTCATTCCGTCAGTGGAAACAGGCGTGGACCAACCTCATATCAAATAGAAATGCTGAATCAATTTCAAGGTTCAATTAAAGGACTTCCAGATACAAATAATTCGATGGACGGATGGCACAAGCATTTTAAAAACAATCTCAGAATACTGAAGAATTGGCCATCACTCAACTAACTGATGGGCATTAACTCTTTCTCTGAAGAATGATATACCCCAACAAACACAACTGGTGGAATTATTTAAATTGTCAGAATATATCTGGTTCAGGTGGCAGTGGTTCGTGTTTTTGTTGTTTGGCTCACCATTTCAATGTACAGAAAGACAAACTTTCATTGCATTAATTATAATTTCCATAAATGGTATTGTCGTTTTTTTAAAAAGATTTCAGAATGAATCTCCTTGATGACACATACAAATGCTAAATTTGATTAATTTTTACTGTGACTATGTTGGTAAATCATCGGTCGATGAAGTTTCCTTGTCAATGAATTGTCTGTCAATTGTCTGTTAATTTTACCTGAACACCAGTCTGGAAGTGGCGGGGCCGGTGGTGTGTCTTCTGCATCACCGTATCTGCTGAACAGCTCATCCAGGTAGTCTTGTTTGTATATCCCAGGTGGTCGAGCCTGGCAGGTGCAAAATGAGATTCTTTTGGATTAACATATGTAATTTTTTGTTCGAGGAAAACTCAACAGCTGGAATGGCATGGCACTACCCAAATACATTCTTCTTCTAATCAGGATATCCAAAAGACTTATACACAGTTACTAACAGAGGCGCCCCTTTAGGCCGCATATTCTCTTACGGAGTGTCAAGCTGGCGACATAAAAACTCTTTAGAACAGGTTGGGTAAATCAACACACAGGGCCATATTCCTTTTGTAAAAGCAGACTATTGTTTGAATGGGCATTCAGTAGCAGTGCCGTAAGTCCCCATGCAGGGATGCACCATGGTGCGTTATATAAAAATCCAACTTGAATCCTTAACAAATAACTGTGAAACTAGAACTTAAGCCACTTGGATTAAAAAAAAAAAAAACCCAAATGCAGTTCACATTCTTACCTGGGCATATTGTCTAACCGCAGCTTCCACACTGAAAAAAAATTAATAAAAGAGTTTTATGGTTTGGAAGCCAATATCAGTTCAGCTATATAGAAAAATACTGGCTTTGCAGAGCTCTAAACTGCTAAGACTATTTTGAGCATTTTGGAAATAGTTTCGGTTGTAATAAATAAAAAAAATTTTTAAAAAATATTTGAATTTTGTATACTTGTGTACAAAGACTACTGACCTCCAGGACAACTTTTTCACAAGATATGACACAATGAGAAACCCTGTTCTATTAAACCCATGTGTGCAATGAACTCCTAGAAAAGAGGAAAAGTTTGTAAACATGTAATAAACAAAACTTTTTTTTTCCAAATAAATTTTACGTTTTTTATTTTTGCATTTCACGGGTAGTTTTTGCTGATGTCATATTTTAAAAGAAAAAAGCAGAATTTATTAAGTTAAACAGACACATGCAGCCGCAGGTTTGCTGACTGTTGCTCTTGCTCGTGAATTTTAAAAAATTGATACATATATTTGTTTTTTTTAAAGTTTTGCATCATATTGTGCCATGGTTGTGCCTGCTAAGTTTGAGCACCTACGTGGGATATCTGTGTCATTGATTCTCAACATGTAGTCGCCACTGAGATTTGTGGCTTCAACAAATCAACAGTGTGAACTTACCTTAATGTCTACTGTGAACATACCTTAATGTTTATTGTGAACGTACCTTAATGTTTACAACTCTTCTGTGAGGACAATAAATTTAAATTAAAAAAAAAAAAAAAAAAATAAATTTAAATAAAAAAAAAAAAAAAAAAAAAAAAGATATACTATAACTCTAAGCCACGATTTTTGCTGGCAAGTTTACTTATCAGGATAAGTTATGGGTTCGTAAATTAGATTACATTATGTATTCAGTAACAGAAACACTAATTGGGGATACAAATAAAATTGAGAGGGGGGACGGGGGGGACAACGCCAATATATCCAAACACATTACCTATTAGCTCTAGGGGTTTGTTTCTGATGAATTTATCACACAACTCGACAAAAGCTTCGGTTTGTTCCTCTGTTGGAGCCTCAGCTCGACTAGAGATATACATTTTTTAAAATAAAAAAAAATGATTAGTTTTTGTCTTAGTCAGGGATGTCAATATCATCATAATCTGTAAGGTTGCAAAACCAAAAAAAAACAACACATTTTAAATATATAAATAAATATTAGATTCATTATGATTTTGACAACAATTTCGAGATGGACATTGAAAAACGTTTAGTCACCCAGCACACTTGACAGAGACCAGTCTACATTCACGTTCTTCTTTTTCTACTTCTTGTCTGTTGTAGAATCTGTCAGTGTTGCACAAGTTGATGATAAGCCCAAGTTTTCTCTGAAATTGTGAAATTTTTAAAATTCAGATTATTGAAGTAAAAACTTTTTAAAAAATATGAAGGCATTGAAAATATAGGACGACAAACCACGTTTCCAGTGAATAAATGTGAATAAAATTAAAATCAATTGGCGATAGGGCAATAAACAAATGTATCTTTCGCATCATGGCAAAAAAGGTTGATGACAAAGATTAAACAATGGATGGGTGTATTATTTGCAAGGCTTATTTCATGATGGGCATTGGTATATCTTTTTTCCTCATGCTTTTTAGAAATAAATTCACAATATACAATTTATTGATATTTGGTTGAAATCAGTGGTTCCCAACCTTTTTGACTCACTGAGTACCTTTTTAAATCCTTCATATTGACTACGCTTTCGTTCATGTGTTTCTTTCCTTCTGGCGGAGTGTGTGACAAAATCTTCAGAATGCTAATTGACCCACTTCTTGTCAACCTAACCAGCTGAAACTTGGCACATAGACTCGTTGCCGATGACAACACGTGCTATCAAATTTTCAGCCCCACGCCCAAAAATAAGTTTTTCTTGTTTGTCTAGGGGAAGATGAAGGAATTATGACACCACCGATTCCACTAAAAAAATTCCTGAAAACTGAGCTAAATGAGATTCGTAAAATTATCACAAGAGTGTTTGGTGCGTAGAGCCCCTGAGAAGTGCTTACAGAGTAATAGGGCTCTGGGCAGCGCAGCTTCTGAAGCACTGGTCTATATATTTGCAATAATCTAAATTATATACAGCATACCTTGAACATTCAGTTAAGTTCCAGAACCAGTCGTAGATCAGGAGGCATCGCAAATGTTTGGTACAAGTCACTAAAATTTGTAATAATTTCTTATTTCTAGAGCTTAACCCCCAAATATGACCCAAATCATGCCACCAAGGCACTAAAATTCCATTTAAAATTTAGCTTAATACATTACCTTAAAAGAAAAATAAATGGTTGATGTACAAATAGAGTAGAGTATCTCATTATGACTATTTGCCACACCAACACATTTACAGTAGTACAGTATCATAATGTTATCCCTACATTAGTGTGGTATACTAATGTTACCCCTACAGTATACTAATTCATTAGTGGCAGTGCAGTTTTCTTTTGCACTTACAGTAAAGTAAAAGTGTAAACTTAATGACTGACGTTTCTTTGTCATTGTCAGGGTGGACCGCGGCTTTACTCATATACTACTAAACAAAGCATCTGCGCTTAAATAAATCAGTGACAAAGAAAGCTGGTAGTCTGCCAAGTGGTCGGCTACTCAACAGCATCTCATCATGGAGCCTAGTTCATCGCACATACCCATACAGTATCCATTCTCTTTGAACACTAGCAGTAAATGTATAATTTTTGTTTTGAATGTACATTAACATTTACTATTACAAAATAAATAGTAAATCATCTACAGCATTTTCTAACAATTATGTAACCATTAGTGTTCCAAAGGCAATAAACTTTATCACCAGGTATCCTTTTCGAAAAAGGAATGTTTCAACAGGAAAGCCAAGTTTTTTAACGGAATTTCTTAACTGATTTCTTATATGTCTTTACACCCCCCCCCCCCATCAGTAAATTAAGCATGTGGCATTATGCATGAGCGTATAATATGAATTTTAAAAATGCTAATTAAAACAATGGAAATATATATATTAGTCATTCCTTTTCGAAAAATGAATGTTTCAACAGGAAAGCCAAGTTTTTTAACGGAATTTCTTAACTGATTTCTTATATGTCTTTACCCCCCCCCCCCCATCAGTAAATTAAGCATGTGGCATTATGCATGAGCGTATAATATGAATTTTAAAAATGCTAATTAAAACAATGGAAATATATATATTAGTCAACTAACCCTCAAAGGCTTTATGGAGTTAAATAGCATGTCAATGGTAAATCTGTTTTCTTCTGGAACCTGATCATCATATTTTGAGTCCAGCGGTGTTTTAAATGGTAGGAACACTCCTAAGTAGATTAAAAAAAATTGTTGTAATTTCAATACATAAATTCAAGCTAAGCTGAATTTTAAAAAATGGTGTGTTAGATCTAATTAAATGATGGACAAAGAATTGTACTTTCTTTTTTTTTTTTTTTTTCTTTTTAAAATTTTTTTTTATTACCTTGTATGATTTGCCCTTTACGTGGACAGTGTAGCCATCTGGGAGGAATAGGCAAGCCATTGTGATCATCTCCATATCTTCTTTTTCTGTTCATATGACTCATATTGTTATTTATAAATGACCTACAGAAAAAAAAGGCCAGTTAAAATAATTGAATAATAATCCATCAAATTTATAGATTTAAATAGGCAAAGTAAATTTTAAATTTGTAATACAAATATGGAAACCAGTATTACCTTGAAGTTGAGACAGCTGTATCTCATAATCAGTCAGCTGAAGAAGGGCCACAAGATTTTTAAAATGTAATTTTTCATTTAGCCTTTTTGGGTAATTAGTAACATTAGATTAGATTGCTCATTACAGTTTGCATAAACACACATTTACAAAAACAGATGGTGCTGGGTGGCTGAGCAGTCCAAACTGAGTCAATCCCAAACTTATGGACTGGAATCCAATCCCAACAAAAGGCTAGACAAGCAAAAACAACACCAGCACCCATGGTGGATGGCAACTCATCTAGAACAAGGCAAAATCTGTAATCAAACCCATCCAGAGATGGGGACCTGAAGTGGTATGACATTGACACAATGAAAATTCCAGATGGCTCCTGCAAAGTGGAACGCATAAAGAACACAGTGAAACACACACAAAAAAAAAAACCACTGTTTGTCATTGGATCAATGTGTACAAAACTCTAGCAAAGACAGAACAAATTCAATTTTATTTAGGAGCTAACATATTGTGATTGAAACTGGGACAGATGAGATTATTAAATCAGCCAGGACAAACCTGAACAATCAGTCAAACCACTCCATTTGGATAACTCGGTAAGGAGAAATCTTTTGTGTTTAGTAAACAGAAACGAGCTCTCCACAGACATGATAAATTAAATGGCAAGGCATGAAATAAATGTTACAGTACAGAATGTTTTAATAAGTTTAATTGAGTAAAAAAGTTACTGTAAAAGTAGTGTGTTACATATGGTTTTGAAATGTAATCTGTTTTAAGATCTGGCTTGTTAGACAAACCATACATAATAAAGGATTATTAACAGTATTCAATTTCATTAAACTATTAAATTTAAATAAAGAAGATGATATCAAATACACAGAAAAAAAACTATAATAACTTACAGCACAGAAAGTGAAAAAGTATAATCCTCGAAAGATACAAATATTAGATACACAAAAAAGGCGTAAAATCTTGTTAGGCTCTTGTTAATGAATATGGGTATACTCTAGTAATTTTTGCGCACCGAACATTGTGTTTTATTGTGTGTGGTGTGTCTTGTGTGTTAGCTTAGTTAATTAACCCTCTGGAGACGGAGCCTTTTCAGGTGTATGTGCCAAAAAGACGGAGCACTTTTTACGAGCTCAACACTCGAATTGCAAAAAAATTTATAAAAAATAAACTATTCCCTTAATATAGGTAAAACTATATATATTCTTGTAGGAAATTGAATGACCTAATACAATCTTTATAAATAAAACTGAAATATCAAAATTTATGCAAATGAGCTACCCTTATTTGCATAATTTATGCGTGTAATTTTTTGTTACACCTAGAATAAACATGATTTACTTGTATCAATTGTGTTAATTTTTTTATGGATGAAGCCTGAATAAGTCCTAATACTTATTTTTTGGGGGGAAAAGGCCCATGAAGGCCCTTCAGACACCTCTGGCACATGGTTCTACTCATTTTCCACCCCCTATTTTTCAGTTGTTACAGACACACTGTAACAGGCCCCCATTTATGACCTAGGGACCTTCTCTTAAGCTGGATGTTACTGAGAAAGTTGTCTGCATATCTATTGGTCTCTCTCATAAACATTTGAATGATATTTAGTGTAAAAAAATAGCATAAAGTACTCAAATGGTGTGCTTATGCCTTATTTATAGGACTTATGTTGTCTAAAAATTCAGAGGGGTCATCTATGTCCATTTGAGAACCCCTAATACTAGTAATACTAAACCAAAAGTTCACAACATTAGCATTACCCTCAATTTGAAAGTCTTTATTTTGTTGTTTTCATCATTTTCAGTGTCAGATTCACTGCAAAAATATATAAAGCACTAAGCACAGTTTGATCAGAGTCACTGTCAGACATGTTCGAATTTCACGATGTAACTATACACACACAAAAAAAATTCCTGCACACTAATAAATTGAGTTCACCTTCAACGAACGCCGCCATTACAATGCCGGGATATGCAGACATACGTAAGAATAATTTTGATTTGCTGGTACAACGCCAAGCCATCCAATCGTGAGGCTCGATCTATCAGGCCGACGGCTCGGACTTGACGTCTTTCTCGCTAGTGTACCTCGGGCCGATAGATCGGCCCTTACGTCTCCAGAGGGTTAACACTTTAGGCTAACATTAGGCTTGTGACATGTGTTTTTATTGTAGCTGTGACATAGTGTCTATAGTCTGTCTTTGGTGTGTGTGCTGTATGTTTGGCATTTGGTGTGAGAGCATAGTGAACAAAGGCTGTAAATAATTCTTCTACTTATACATATAGCAAGCTGTGCTTTACATGTGTTTGATTCTTTTTCACGCGCTGATATAAATGTTTCCAGATTAAATTTTACATTGCTTTTGGAAAAAGGACTTGTGTTCAGTTCCGTGTGATTACGATGTATGTGCATGTAAAAGAATTTGATGCAGGAAACCAATCAATAAGTCTGGTAATATGTCTCTAGGAAATATAGAAAGTCTCTCCCTTCTCGGAAAGCTGCCAGCTTATGTAAAGTGAGGGTATTAGAAACCTTCAGAAAAGAAATTTTTGAAACTGCAACTGAACGTATTCTGTACCTTCCATTTAGAACATATCAAATGTAAATAATAATCTGTTCCCAATCATCAATCAAGGGAGAGGTGGGTAGTGGTAGAGGGCTAACTAAATCAATTGATGATGTCGGTCAATTGATGTCAATATCAAAACAAAGAAGTGGGGAGATAAGTGATGGACGCTACAGCTCTACGCCTTCTCAGTACTCTGAAGCAAAATTAGGCGTCACACTCACTCACACAGTCAGGCTATCGGCTATACCCACCAATAGTTATAGCAAGTGTCTAGTTAGCACGTCTATATAAGTGTAAGTCTACCTCAAAAGACTACACCTAACTAGGAAGATAAAATGACTAAAACTGTTGTAAATAAAAATGTAGTTGTTTTTAATGTATAATATAAATATAATATAATATAAGCAGGCCTGACATAAATTAAATTATACACATGTATTTCATCATGTTTGTAAGATTTACTTTGTGAATATCAGACTTGTTAAATATTAACTAAAAGTTATCATCGTACCTTTGAAAATATCAATGTCGTTTATCGTCACTTAAGCGGAAATATAAACACTATCTAAAGTAAGTGGTTAACTCCGTACCAGGACAACATTGACCGCCATGTTTTTTATTTTGTTTGAGATAGTTCCGATTTGTAAATTATATTCGAAGCCAATGGAAGTAAAGCTACACACACGTTTCACTGCTCTAGGGTAGGGTGACCAAATCATGAACTGGAAAAAATGGAGGGTTTGGTTGGGGGATACCCTTTAGCTAAAGAGGGGTCCGGGGGGCCTCCGACGGAAACTGTTTATTGAAATTTAACTATTTTGAGACCCAGAAATCTTTTATTAATTTACCTTCACTTTTGTAATTCAATTTAAACTTTGAGGTATATCATAAACGAAACAATTTTGCTGTGAATTTAAACATGTAAGATCTATGGCAGGGACACTCTCGTTTACGCAGTGTTGGCAGAGTGGTGGATGGGGAACAGTGCAGCAATCACGCAAACCCACATCACTATTGACACTGGCTACACAGCTAGCCAAAATATTATTTGAAGTTAAATTATAAATTAGGAAGTTTGAGTGATTTGAAAATGTGTTTGGTTTTAGAAACGGGACATTTATGCGTCCCGAGAGACTTTTTCGGGACACCGGGTACGATCGTGAAAAAACGGGACAATCAGTTTTTACAGGACGTTTGGTCACCCTACTCTAGGCGGCTAAGTGTCTGAACCGAAGGACTGAACATACCAAGGCTTTAATTAGACATACAGCGAAATAAAACTATTGATTTTTAGGACATTTTCTCAGATTGCGCCATCAAGTGAAAAAGATAAAGCAGACGTGGAAGAATGGTTCTCAACAGACAGTAAATTTAAGGATAGTCTGTACAAATTTGACTTATCAGTATTATCAGCAGTTGTGATTTTTTTCTTCTTGCTATTGAAACCTGTATGACCATGATCAGGAGAAATTGAACACTGATAAGCATGCAATAAAATTATCTAAAGCTACATAGTGTATTTTGCGTCATATGGAATCCATATCATATGGCATAATAGTGCTTCAAAATTCCTCTAGTTTTGCGAGTATTTCTAAACTAAAACTAATATATTAAGTATTTAAGCTTAAATTGGGTAGCCCTACAGTACCAGAGGTAAGAAACAATTGCCGTATTATGGGTCCATACATAAATGATGACACGCATCTAGTAGGGATGGGGTCAGAATTTTATGGCGATGTATGTATTAGGTGGTACTTTATAATAGTAATAATATATGTTCTATTAGTTATTAGTATTAGCTTAATGAAGGAAGTGGGTTATTTTAACGTTGTCTCATCATCCCCCACCAATAAAAATAAATAAATAAAAACATTTCTTGCATTCACCAAAACAAGTTGACGTTTGATGTGCTTTTTTGCGTGTTTTTCGCGAGAGTGACGGCTAATTCGAGGACCCTAACAGTTAACTTTGAAAGGCACAAAATCTGTGCCTTACCTTGAAATAGTCACTCAACAGCATATAAAAAGAAAACTATGGTTTCTGTTAAAATTGTATTTTTATTCATAAAACATTTATATTCAAGAGTTCTTAAATTATTGCCCTTGATGATTTTGACTGCTTTAGCAAATGAAATATACAAATTCAAAAGTTTGTTTTCTATACAATTTATCTCGAAGTTTCTATGTACTTTCCCTTCATGAGCTCATTTCACCAAGTACTACACTCTTATCATACAATATCCTCCTTGATAGCCTTTTACAATCAAACAAACATGCATTTGATTTATTAATTATTGATTATTACATTGCATTGACTCTACACTAAGATATGTCAAATATTAATTATTAACTTTTAGATAGGAAACATAATTTAAAATAGCCCAAATAGGAAACAACATATTCTAAAAATCGATACTTAAACTAAAATTTAAACATTTAATGTTATACAAGTTTTGCCCCAATTACTGTTGGGACTTTGTTACGTTGATTTGAATCCTTTGTTTGATACAAAAATAGAACCTGTATCGTCGAAATGAGGAACCAGTGAGTTGTGTTTACTTTGGGTATCCACTACGGTATTGATTTATCGTCCATGTTATCTATAAAAACTTATAAGGTTGAATCAAATTGGGAAATTAGGCTTTGAATAAATAATGATTTTTTAGAAACATTTAGCCTCTACTAAGTCTTTAGGCCTAATAAACTCACTCTACTACCAGTCTCTGCTCCCCTCACTACTCACTACTAATTTATTACTATTACTAATTACTAACGTCTTTTCTTCTGTCTCAGTTACACTGGCTTCACAAACAAAGTATCAATATCATTAGCCTAACTCAGTCTTAGTCTTAGTTCTCACTTGTGACTTATTAACTTTTAAGTTTTTCAATTCCAGTCTTTATCAGTGCAGTGGTTCCAAATTTCAGCAATTATACAGGACTAACTTACTCAACTCAGGGTAACATGGAGTAACTCAAGTAGTCTAGTGGTCTCCCCATCACATGCCCCATGTTTTCAAAAAGTTAGACACCCCTCAAATATAACATCACAATCTCTGCACCCCCCCTCCCCATAAATGTCCACTACTGTCCTTTACTAGCCCTTAAAAAAATCACATCCCATATCAGATTACTGCACCTGTCAGAAACATTTCCCTAAGCCAGGGTCCCTCAGGGGTAAGAGCACCCACTGTGGTGAGGAAGCCCCAGAAAATGAATTGCATTTGCTGCCAGTGCTACTTGATCCTACCTTTAAAAATAAAATCATTTTAATGCATTTTGATTAGTATTAAAATAGTGGGAGTAAATTTTTTTCCAGTTGTATTGTGTTTTTGTGCACTACTTGTATTGGTAATTTTTTTTTCTTCTAGAAAGTTAATTAAACAAATAAAACTACAATAACTAAATTATTTAATTATTTTCATTTTTAAAATTGTATTACAATATAATTTACACTGGATATTTTTTGGGGGGGTGGGGGTGGTAAGGGGTTGCGGAAAATGTTTTGAAATTGAGGGGGAATCCAACGCTGCAAAAGGGTTAAGAATCCCTGTCCTAGAAGATTTATTAATATTACACCACCCCTCCCCGTCAATTATTTTTGGTTCCATCTCATTTCACGTGGTAGTCCTAACTCTATGACTCCAGTCTCCACATTGCAGCATAAATTGTCAAGACTGTTAAAGTCACTACACCCTGATTCTTGTCCTCCATGGCATCCTGTAACTTTATCATATACCATTATTTGACCTCGCATACCTATACTGATTCTCTCAGTGATCATAGTTTATAATGTTAAATAATGTCTGTAATTTATTACAATTTTTTTTTACAATTTTTTTTCTAGAACATTGCGCTTTTAATGAGACATCACATTGCTTTAACCCCCACCTACCTCATCACAAAAATGTGGCCCCCCCCCCTTTCCATATGTTAAATAATTTATGGATGGCCCCTTAGATGATAATTACATTAGCTAAATTAGCCCAATAGGCTTTGTTTTATTGGTTGGGGCATAGGCATTTGTACTATGACCAAATAGCTAACTTTGCTGCTATAATAATCATCTATATAAACCTTTAAATTTAAAACTTGTTTTGATTATAATAAGCAAGTGCCTGTAACTATACATGCATGCTTTTTACTTATAACTGTTCTTTTATTTTAAACACTTTGGTGGTGAAAGATTTTTTAAAATCTATTTGTTGTTTTTTTCTATTTCTAAAATTTTCATGGCTTTTATGCTAATAGAAATTCTTACAGAATAGCATACAGTGGGCATTGCTATGCTGTTATATTACTATAATATGTGTTAGCATGGATATCCTGGCCCAGAAAAAAAAAATCTCAAATCATAAATAGTATCATTAATAGGCCTAAGTCTAAGATTAATGAGCAAGACCTACCAAAACAGACATGCAGGCTTATGGGTTATACCCTTCTCATTTTAGATTTCTTAAGCTTTGTTTTTTGATTTACCCCAGGGTTTTGCTTAACTCAAGCACACTCCCCCCTCCCTGGTGCAAGTGGTTATAAAAAGAGCTACCTTGTACCTTTAAATGATGATATAAATATATCTTTTAAAATTCTCCATTTACATCTTACTTTTACCCAAGTTTATTTTTTAAATTCTACAGTTGTAATTTATAATTCAATAAACGAAAATGAGAACTCCATATGTTTCCAATTTAAAAATGTATTTTACTTCTTAGAGGGTGGCAGCTTATGGTCAGTTAATTTGTCATACAAAGTGTGAAACTCAGTTAAAAAATTTTTAGGTGTTGCAGACAAAAGAAAAGGTTTTGAAATCCTGCATGAAATGTTCCCTAGCATGTGATGGCATATAATAAATTAATTTAATCAAACCGAACTCATATGATAATTCTCTGCAACAGGTCCTACATAGTTGGCCTAAAGGCTTGTGTGCCTATTTACTTTTGATACTGATAATTATAGCCATCTGTAAATTTTCTCTTCATTTCTTGGAGCACGAAAGTGTTTTTATAAAAAATAATTTTGAGCACCCCACAGCCTTATAAAATTATAAGAAACATTAATTTGATATAGTGGTCTTGCCTCATTGCCAAAATTATTTTTTTCAAGCTTATATCAAAAGTAAATCAATTCTTCAAAAAATATTGCACTGATATCTGATGCATCCAAATAGCAACATTCATTTAAAAAAGCAATAATGATATATTTGGCATTCAAAGAATCAACCAATAAATGTGAAAATTAAGTTTTAAAAAAATGATTGACTACATCGCTTACTGAAACTAGATAATAATATTAACCTATTACCACATAACTAACAAAATTTAGTGAAATTATTAAAATTTGTAATAAAACCTTTGGCTTAAAAGTTAATTGGTGAGAAGTCTTTATTGAAATAAATTACCTGCAATTTCTCATTATTTATTTTCAGACTTATTATTTCTCTGAAAAAATACCCAAGATGGCTCCATCACTTGTCCTGTTTCAGGAGATGCTGTCCCGTCCTGGAGGTTGATTTGTAAATGAAACAATCAACCATTTAGGAAAGAATGAGAAAAATTGATGCAATTTTTTGAAAATAAAATAACCCCCAAAAAATACTGAAGAATGAATAGATTTAAATGCATTTAAAAAAAGAATCAAGAATGCGGATCCATAGCTTACCAGCATTTAAACTGGTCTTTGCCTTGCTGCTGCTGATGGTTGTCCTAGCCTTGATGGCTCACCATTACATCTCAAACATTGCAGCCTTTGACACGCAGCCACCTTCACATAAAACAAGGCGGATTGACAGCTACCCTGATGATCCTGACCCCAACTCACGTCCCCTGACAGCATACCAGCATGAGATTGAAGAGCTGAGGCACATCAAGGCATCTGTCAACAACGAGCTTAGGGATTTGGAAAACAGACGCCTGCGGCTACAATCTGATATCTCGACCTACTCAACGAATATTGACAATCTCAAGTCCCAGCACCAAAGCTTGAGCAAAGAGGTTAGTCTGATCAAACTTTCCCTAGATCAAATCAAATTTGAACAGGAGGAATCCAAGTCTTTTATTCCGAACATTAGAGCTCCACACCGTATCCTAATGGAGGTAGATGCGAACGACAAGTTTCCCATGCCGTCATCATCAAATCACTGTCAGATGGAGACTTGTTTTGATTTTTCTCGTTGTTCCCTAGTGTCAGGATTTCCAGTCTTTTTCTACAATCCAAACGAATTTCAAAGATTTGGGCTTTCCTTATCAGCAAATATTGTATCAGCCCTTGAGAAATTTGTCGGTAAAAATGTTTATGTAACTGAAAATGCAGCCAATGCTTGCATATTTATAGTTGTTATTGGAGATTTAGCAGAGAGGAAGCATCATGAGTCTAAGGTGGTTGAACATTTTCTCCAACAACTACCTCACTGGAATGGCGATGGCCGTAATCACATCCTGCTGAGCCTTGCTGAAACTGCTGGCTCAACAGATGCCTTCTATGGTGTAAATACTGGCCGGGCCCTGGTAGCCCAGTCAACATTTTTAAATACCAAATTTCGAGAGAACTTTGACATTTTAATTCCCCCGAATCTAGGACCTGGCACCAGTCAAAATTCATGGCAGCAGCTACCCCTGTTAACTCCAGTAAGGAGAAAGTTTCTGCTGTCCTACTGGGGACAGTTCATCCCACAGAATAAACTACCAAATGAAGTGAACAATGCTTCAATGAATCTCTTAGATTCAAAACGGATCAAGGGGTTTATTAATAACATGCCTTTCCAGCGCAGACCTTTATCAGTCATAGACATTTCAGAATCCCATTCAGTGTATTCTCACATAGAGCAGGCCATAGTTATGTCAATAAAAAGTTTCCAAGGTGGACATCAAAGCAATTTTTATATAGACGTCTCCTGTGGTGAGCATGGAGTAAGCTCTGCCATAGCAGGGGACTGGGCACTTTGTGGGTCGGAGTCATCACGCAAAGAGAAGTTAATTCAGTCCACCTTCACATTAATTATCTCCCCATTAAATGCCTCCCTCTATTCCACCCTAGCATTCCAGGCTCGTGTATTTGAAGCCCTTAAACATGGCTCAGTGCCGGTAATTCTGGGATCTCATGGGCGTTTACCTTTCTCTGAAGTTTTGCGCTGGGACACGGCAGCCATCATCCTTCCCACCCCTCGGGTGACGGAAATCCCGTTTTACCTACAGTCATTCCCAGATGAGTATATATCAGCCTTGCGGCTCCAAGGTCGTGTTTTCTTCCTGAATTACTTCTGCTCCGCTGAGTCTGTCCTGGACACACTGCTGGCAGCAGTGAGAACACGACTCTCGATACCGGCACGCCCTGTGAAGGAAGAACCATCGGCAAGCATTTTCCCAGCATCTTTCACTCCCTTGAAATATGAAGGCCCCGATCCGGAGCCAGAAAGTGATGAGCTTTTGGGTCCAGTTGAGAGCCCCTTCCCATCTGAGACCTATCGCTACAACTTCTCCCATTTCATGCACCTTGATGCGTTCAATACCAGGGGAGATCCCTTTCTTCTGTATCCACAGACACCGTTTGAACCTTGGCTTCCATCTGAGGCCAAGTTTCTTGGTAGGTATTTTAATCTTGTGCATCCATTTAAAGTTAATTATACATTTTAGAAAATTTTCTACTCAAATATATTTTACACATATCGTATAATTTATAATCGTTGCTTCTTAAGATAAGTCCTTTTGTTTTTATCTTTGGTGCTGTAAATGTTATTATATTTGCACATATAAAATTTAATATTAAGCACATTGTCCTTTCATGTGTAAACTATATTTTGACAATTCAAATAAGTCACTATAATCAATTAATTAAAAAATATATATATTTTTAAAATAATAATGAAAAAAAAAAGAAATTGATACATTAAAATTTAAAAAAAAAGTAGTTGTATCTACATCTTATGTATGGTATTGTATAACTAAATTACTGATAAGCATCTGCAGAACCTCAACAGAATCAAGATCTTTATAAATTTAGGATATATAATTTTTCTCTTCATGCTGGCTAAGGTTAAAAAAAAAAAATTTCATAAAAATTGATCTGGTCGCTGAAAGTGAAAATCAATGGGTATTGAAGTAATAGCTTTGTGTTTTTTCCCCAATAATCTTAGGCTCAAATTATGGCTTCAGGCCTGTTGCCAAAGGTGCAGGGGGTGACGGCAAGGAGTTTAGCGAGTCTCTTGGTGGAAACTCCCCTAGGGAGCAGTTCACAAGTAAGTCTGCTATTAGAAATGGATTAGTTCAATGGGTGTTAAAAAGTTCCAGATTCCATGTCATGTGTGCAATTTTTGTATGTGGATGCTTATCTCCATGTCCAAGAAAGATTAATTTTCTGAGATTATGTAAGTTTTAGGAAATAAAGATATCTGCTAGTGCTGGATGCTTAGAAAATGTATATTGGCATGTTTGAGGTACTTTTATTGATCCAAATACATGGAAATGTGTTGGGTTTTTTTTTCATTCATCGTACATATTTTTTCAGTCTTTCGTTGTCTCTTAAAATTAGTCTGTAGTGAGAAATTTTGTAACCAAAATGCAGGGTTTCCCAACCTTCTCATTATTCTCCACCCTCTATGAATTGTTTGACTAAGTCTCTCACCCTCTATGAATTGTTTGACTAAGTCTCGCACCCTCTATGAATTGTTTGACTAAGTCTCTCACCCTCTATGAATTGTTTGACTAAGTCTCTCACCCTCTATGAATTGTTTGACTAAGTCTCTCACCCTCTATGAATTGTTTGACTAAATCTCTCACCCTCTATGAATTGTTTGACTAAGTCTCTCACCCTCTATGAATTGTTTGACTAAGTCTCTCACCCTCTGTGAGTTTTTTGACTGAGCCTCTCACCCTCCTAAAAAATTAACAAAGCATTGCAATAGTGGCAAAAAAAGGGGCTTCAATTTTTTTTTTATTGCAGAGAAAAGTAGTACTTCGCAAATGAATTTGTGACTTATTATATACCAGCTGTGTGAAATGATGGTGGAAAAAAAAAAAGAAAAATATTTAAATCAAACTTAAAGAGTCAATGTGGGGACATCAGATTTTAGAAACCTCGCCATTAGACATTCTGATAAACGTTACAGTGTTAAATTTTGAAGATCAGTGGTGAGCAGGGAAGTGGAGGGAACTACGGGGAGGTTTCGGATGTGCTTTAGGAATTAGTGGTAATGGTTTATAAGAAAAAAAGATGACCTCTCCTGTTAATGTGGTTAATTGGGAGTGGAAAAAGAATGTTATGTACCTAAAATATGCCATGTGGAATGTATACGTGTAAAGAAGAACGATTCTGAACATTGAACTTCATTGACATGGAGATCCTCTGAAACACAAGTTTTATTTTTTTATTTAAATTTATCTTTTGTTTATTAATTGTATTGTCTGCTGAAGAAGTCATCTGGCCAAAATGTCAGTTTAATTGTCCTGTCTTGTCTTTCAAGCCTACAAATATCTTGTTCAACTATATATTGAGTAAAGAGGGCATGAATAGTCCTCTAGTAGTTTAGCTCTGTGCGCCTTTAATTCTTTGAAATTCCACTGTCAGTTGTGATGCTGACTTATGACAGGGAAGTCGTCCTCATCCAAGCACTGCACAGGTTCAAAGGTCTGCCTTTTCTCAATAAAGTAGTGGTAGTGTGGAATGGAGAGAGTCCTCCTTCAGTTGATCTCAGGTGGCCAGAAATAGGAGTCCCTATCCTGGTAGGACATAGATTTTTTTCAGATTGAGCACCAATTTGGCTGAAGTTTTTATATATATTATTATATACATAAACAGAGAGTTTAGAAGGGAAAAAACAATGATTTTTTTTTTGGTCTGTAAATCAAAATAATCTTTAAACATTCATACCAAAGGACATCAAAGCTTTATTTACAATTTTATACCAATTTCTTGCTTACCCTAATCCCTGAATGACTGCTTAAAAATGTCAATATTTGTCTTGTAAATTTATGAACAGGTCCTAAAGACAAGTAAAAACAGTCTGAATAACAGGTTTCTGCCTTATGATGTGATAGAGACAGAAGCCATCCTCAGCATAGATGATGATGCACACCTTCGACATGATGAGATTGTCTTTGGGTTCAGGTAAAAATCATATGAATTGGTTTTATGCAGATTAAAAAAAGAAGAACTTTTAAAGTATTGTTCGGTCCAGATTTTTCAAACGACCACCCCAAATATTATGATACAATACACACTATAGAAAATTGGCCCCCCGGTAGAGATCAAATTATGGCAAAACTTTATAGTTATCACCAGGAGGAGTTAACTTTTTTTCCCTTTAAATTAACAACCAAATGAACTTATGGAATTTAAAATTTTGGGGGGTTAAAATGTAATACTTGATCATTTAATCAAATGACACAGATTAGGGAAGGGGTTATTTTGAGCTGGACAGACAGCAGATTCTTAAGTTTCTTAATTAATCTAGGATCAAATTCATGTCTTTACATCTTATTTATACATGTTTAGCCATTATATCACTTTTTCTATATGTAACCAGCATCACATTCTCCTACTGTAATGATACTCATTTGCTTAATACCTATACTCTGTTTTAAAAAAAACAACAAAAAAAACCATTCAGTGACAAACTGGGCTTTTGTATAATTTTTTTTAGAGTCTGGAGAGAGGAGAGAGCCAGGGTGGTCGGTTTCCCTGGCCGCTATCATGCCTGGGATGCCAGACACCAGTCCTGGAACTACAACTCTAACTACTCCTGTGAGCTGTCCATGGTGTTGACTGGTGCTGCTTTTTTCCACAAAGTCAGTCATGGGCCACTCAAATTTGTTTGTCCAGCACTGTAAAAGCTGCTCTAGCCACATTTTTTTAAATAGCTGTACAATTAAGTGCTTTCTAATTGGGAAATGAACAAAACATCTTGACTCTCTGGTTGACTCAGTCATGAATAATGTTATTACTGGGGTTGTTAGCCATTAAAGTCAAATCAAATTAAAATTGAATCATATCAAATTAAAATTGAATCATGTGAAATCAAATTGAACTTGAATCGTGTCAAATCAAATTAAAATTGATCAAATTGAAATTGAATCATATCAAATTAAATGGAGTCATGTCATATGAAATTAAATGGAGTCATGTCATACCAAATTAAATGGAGTCATGTCATATCAAATTAAATTGAATCATCTCAAATTAAATTAAATCACACCTTGGATCACAACTGGAGTCTAAGAATTGTTTCATTCCATTAGCAATAATAAAAAAAAAAAAGATCTTACTATATGACACTTTCTCCTGCAGCTCTCGTTACAGGCCTTCGGGATATTTTGTTGTTGTTACTGTCACACATCATATTTCAATTGCCCCCCCCCCCCTTCCCCACTCCCCCTGTTTGAGGATCTAGAAATAAATTTGAGCCTTGTTTCAAGATCTTTAAAACAAGTAGAGGATCAATCATCAGTTTTAGTAACATAGTACCGAGAGGGAAAATTACAACACCGAGAACTCTTTTTTTTTCCAGTACTACACTTACCTGTACAGCTACGTCATGCCCCAGGCCATCCGTGACAAAGTTGATGAGTACATGAACTGTGAGGACATAGCCATGAACTTTTTGGTGTCACATATTACAAGGAAACCTCCTGTAAAGGTGAGATGGCATGCCGCTTAGCGCATAGAGTCTGCCTGGTGTTGGTGGGNGGGGGGGGGGGGGGGGGGGGGGGGGGGGGTCAGGCAAATTTTCAAAGGTTGACATACTGTCAGACTTAATAAAGATTTCATATGTCAGACTTAATCAGCTTATCATAAAGTAGATACTCATTATTTCAGCAGTGCTGTCAATCTTAATTTCTGTGTGGGTTAGCTTTTAGGGTTTTGTTTTAAAGGGTTTCGTCATGAGCTTTTCAGTTTGCCCATTTGGTTATATTTTGCGGCTTTCAGAGAGTTATTTTGAATGTAAAAGTTAGTCCCTTGGAAGCAGTCTTAAATTTTACTTGTGTTTAAACTGAAAATAATGTTGTTGCGTTTTGTTAGAAAAACTGATTGCTCTTTGTTACTGTGTCTCTATCAGTCCTTACAACAGAAGATATTCTAGAAGGCTAACCAACAAATAGACTTTTAATCTCTTTATGATGAAAAAAAAATAATGGGAATGCAAAATGAGTTTTGATTTTTTTTAATGAACGCAATTTTATAAAGATAGTCTGAGACTACTTTAGAAAACTAGAACATGATAATGGTGAAGGTAAATTACCAAAATTGCCGGAGTTTTTTGTTTCTGTAATGAACTTCACACCTTGGTATTAGTCATGATTCTAAACAAAGGAATCGCTTTGAAATTTCTAGGTGACCTCAAGATGGACGTTCCGATGCCCTGGCTGTCCAACCACACTGTCCAGCAACTCCAGTCACTTCGAGGAGAGGCACAAGTGCATAAACTTCTTTACCCAGGTCTACGGGTACACTCCCTTGTACTACACACAGTACAGGGTGGACTCGGTGCTTTTCAAGACGAGGATAGCCCATGACAAGACAAAGTGTTTCAAGTACATCTAGTGAATATCTGGTCTCTACCATATCTGGGGGTGGTAGAAACATTTCTCAGAGAGAATATTCTGCTGGTCCTTTTTTTTTTCAACTAAGACATGTCCATGACGATATGTTTTTAAAAGCATGTTGAAAGTGGCCAATGGAACACAAGCTCTGATCCATTTTTTTCGCTTTAAAATCATTGTCTTACCAGTAGAAATTGACTGCACAAATGGGAAAATATTTCTTTTCCTTAATGTTGTATTGAATCACTTGTGTTAGGGGGAGGGTAAGTTTTTTCTGTAATTTTTGGTCTTTTTTTGACAAATCACTTTTTAAATGAATCTCCCTTGTTTTAGAGTGACTCCCCCTTTTATCAGTTGCCTTCCTGCACTCATGGTTTCCCTGCTGAGAGTTTATCTCTATGACTTGAAAGCTTTCTGGCACTGAGACCGGATGACTCGGGATTTATGAATATCCCACGATCGAATTTTAGCTTTAATCCCCACCATGAAGAGCTAATCTAAAGCTATATGATGGGGAGGGGGGGAGGGGGGAATTTGCATCATGATGTATGTGCTTGATCAGTTTTATGATGTGTGTTATTTTTCTTCATTTATTACTCAATGTGGCACTTTGAAATCTAGATTATTTCATGGCATTATCTTTAAAGTCATTGGGGGAAGAGCAAATTTAGATTTGTTTTAAAAAAATCAACAGTAGAATAATTTCCTCTGGCATTTGAAATATGCTAATAACTTATTTTAAATTTTACATGTGTATTGTTTGAAGTTTAAAAATAAAATGTGAGAAGTTAATGTTTGTGTGTATAAATAATACCTTGTCGGCTTTAGACATAGTTCAATGTGTTCTTTCAGATTTTATTTTGTGCTTATCAGGTCATGAAGATTTTAACTTAAATTTCAGCTGGAGAACAGCAACAATTATCTTTTATTTGAGCATTCTGATAATTTGATTCGTGTGACTAAGCCTTGGCATTTTATCCGCTTCTGTTTGATAAGCATAATACGCCTTTGTTTACCAAATATTTGACATCTGTGTTTCGGATGCTATAAACTATTGCACATCATTTCCATTTGAACATCTGCAAGTCTTCCATTTAAACAAAAAAAAATATGATATGAAGACCATTACTGTAATGATCTCGAAACAAAAAGCTAAATATGAATTTGTATAAGATCTAAGTAAAAGTATTTTAAGAAAAGTAAATCTTCAGATAAATTATGTTAAATTTTTTTTTAAAAATTGTCAATGGATAGTATTACAATTTTAATGTCTTAAGAATATTGTATTTTTATATTTTAGTTTTTAAAAAACAATTTTGTACTGTCATTGTCCATTACAACATATACAGCCCAGAAAATGTTGCACGTAGATATGTTTTGTAAGAGCACTGCCATTTACAAGCTATGATCTATGATTTGGTTACGTCTATAAAGACTCCATATACATATATATTTGATCCAAATACTGTGACTCAAATTGATACACCTGTCAAGATTTCTGAGAAAAACTGATTGACAGCCCCCATACACTGCTATGTCTTAATGACAAGTTTTAATTCATTCTGCTCTCCTTTGCTGCAGAGTTATTTTATTTTTGTTTCAAGTATTTTATTAGTTTTATAAATATATATGTATATATATTTTTTTTTACACATTCACACTCACAGATATAGCCTAACAGTGAGCTGCAGTTTAGATGTTCATTTACAAATTTTTATTTGGCTTCACTTACTGATTAAATCAGCCCAGCTGGTCAGAAAGCTTGTAGGGGAAAGGAGTATATTTCATGACAGTTTCTTTCACTTCTGCTAGATGTGAATCTTAAGCTCACAGGACATTATTGGCCATATTCTAGGGGCTGCTGTACGCTTCATTTCTGACGCAATATTTAAACTTTGTCTGAAAATAGCTTTTGCTGCTTTATCAGACCTCATTAAAATGACGATATCTCATATTTTAAAAATCCCCCACACTTGCTTCAGGAAGAAAATCGCATTTATGATTTTAAAAAATAAAAATCATATATTTATTGCATCTTTCATGCCCACAAGTTATAGCAATTTTTAATTTATTATAGGTTTTGGGAATGGAATGTGCAAACAAATCAATGAATTTTTGACATCTCTGCTTATAAAAGGGTGTAAGAGGTAATGTTTGACATCTCTGCTTATAAAGGGCTGTAAGAGGTGCCGTTTGAAATCAGCAGAAAAGTTTGAACGTCTGTTTAAACTTTGGGATGTATTTTTTATTTATGCATTTTAAGTTTCGCCATCATCATGTGGTGCATTCGTATGTAAAATAGTCCAGAAGTTGAGAGGCTGGGGGGCCGAGGAGTCTAAACTGAGTCAGTCACATGCTTGTCGCGCGAAGTTCAATCCCCCAGCAAAAGCGTAGACCATCAATAACAACACCAGTACTCTGTGTTGATGGGACTCGTTATGAAAATTCTGACAACTCCTGCGACGTGGAAACGCACAGGGAGACACAAGAAACACTGCTGGTCACCTACTGCATTCCGTTCTAATACCATTTGTCTTGACTAAGTCATGCCATCGGAACAAATAGGCGAGGACAAGACAGTGAGGCTGATGAACTGAGCAACTCTCCTTCACTTTAAACTAATTACAGCTCAAGTCAAGACTAATACTCAAGTTGAAGCCAGGATCATCATCACCTGCGAAGGACAAACTATATATATAGTCCCGAAATATTTGTCAGTTGTGGTAGATGCATTGGGTAATTAAATTAGTAATTTTTACAAAAATTGTTGAGTTCAAAGCACTTTGAGAGTGTGTTTATCAAAACAACCCAAAGCATTCAAGCTGTGTGGAGGAATAGAAGAACAAGAAGAATATGGTGAACACGTTAGTTTTTTAAAATACTTTTGATTCCTTGTTATTTCTTCATTTGTCCTGTCTCCCGAGGAAGGCTCTTGGCGGAAACGTTCTCCTTTTTTTTTTTTTTGCCCCGTCTTTCTATTTCAAGCTTCCACATACCTTGTACCACTATCTCTTTCATGGATATGATACCTGGATAAGTTTTTAATTTTTGTACAAAGGGAGAAATACCATTGAGACTGTGGCCCATTCAAAGAAATTTTGAAATTGTTTATGCCAGAAGTACACCAGATTTTTGCACACCTGCTCTAGTTAACTTCATCTATTGGCCGTCTTTGGGCAATCCAAGTGAGCTATAAGCATACAAGAAAAGCTATTGCCAACACTGACTTTCACCTGACTAGTAACTGTGCCATGCACACCTCATTCATCACATGCCAAGAACAGCAGTGTCAATAACACCTTGGCCGCATTCACGTCTTGGTCACAATCTAAGGTCTAAATAATTTTCCGCAGTTATTGGTAAGAAATGAAAGAAGTGTATACCCCCTTTATATAAAAAAAATTATGAATTGTTTTCTGTCCAGCTCCCACTTCCATATTATGCTGCTCACATGGGACAGCTGACCGCTCACATGGGACAACTGGCAAAGAGAAGTTGAATTTCATTACAATTACATCTTTTCTCTGTGATTCTTTCACTTCCGGGAATCTTTCTGCATGGGAAATGGTGGGGGGTAGGCTTATTACTTACCTGTTCCTGCGCTTGGTGTCAGGGTAATAAGTAAATGGGAGTAAGCATTGTTTTAATTGTAACATGGGGCAGGGAGCAGATCTTGGTGATGTAGCCGTAACCTTCTCTGCACGAATCTAAATGACTGGTTGGCTGAACTAGCCGTTCTAAATCGGTTAAGTGAAGGGTGAAACTTACAGTTTAGAAAAGATTTATAACTTTCTCACCCAGATTACCAGATAGTTAAGTTAAACAGCCTTTATAGGGGACAGCTTCCTCCAATAATTCATCAATAAATAGCCTATTTTTTTTTTTTTTTAATCGCATTATATTGCCCACAAACTTTATGACAGAGTGATGGCTATTCAAGTGTTAAAGGAGCATGTTCAAGTGTTAAAGGAGCGTGTTCAAGTGTTAAAGGAGTGTGTTCAAGTGTTAAAGTAGCTGGCTTTTGAACCCTTACTGCGGCAGACAGCACATACTTCTCTTGTGGTTCCCCGATACATGCCTCCATTGTGATCATAATAAATATTTTAGAAAGTCATCTATTTTTTTGTAACAGCTGTCAAGGTCATTGGGGGGGGGGGGGGGCGGGGGCTGCTTTTCTATATTCTTTCCCATGGGTTCAAAGCTTCTAAAATGTCTGGCAGGACATTTTGACATTCAACTTATGTTAGTCTATCTCATCTAATGGCCTTTCAGTGGCAAACTCTGCCGTGTGCTTAAAACCCCTGTCATTTTTATGAGACAATAAATATCCCCTAAAACTGAAACACTTTTTTTTTTTGGTGTCGAATTCACACATGCCACCCATTCTGATCGGCAGTGTAACCTTTTGTTTATTGAATGTCAAAAACCATAAATTATGTTGGACATTTTATCTTGTACATACATTTATGTTGCCTTATGTTTTGTAGATTCATTAGCAGCTCTATAATCAAAGCAGTATTCAGTGGTTCTTCATCTTTTATGTTAATGGTTCCCTGATTCAGAACCTCTCTGTTATATATATTTGCCTGAATGTATCCTAGTAAATATGGAATTAGAAAACTGTATCTCAATATTTTTTTTTGTTGAAGAAATGAATTAAAAATTAATGCTTGATATTCATTTGTTCACCTGCAACAGTGTAAGTATTTTTGAGCTTTTTTGGTTCATGTATTTTCTAGCTGAGCAAGAGTTACTTTCTCTTAGTAGTTCCAACCAATCACTATTTTGGAACACTCAGAGCAATCATACTCCTTACATTTCTTGTAACTCCTTACATTTCTTGTACTGTAGTAACATTTTTTTTTTAGACATTGTTTTAATCTAGATTTGTTTATGTATATCTCAGCTCCTGTAGTGTCTAGATGCCGTATGATAATTTTTTTCTTTGTTGATGTTATTGTTATATAAAATATAGAAGATAAGTGATGCCAATTTTGTAAATGTACTATCTGGTGCTATTTTTATGTACGTGTTTCTGTGCACTGTTGTAACCGCATCCAACTTTTTAAAGACAAATGATTGCATATAACATAATTAGGCTAAGTCCATGCGGAGTGATCTGAATGCCCTTGAGTGTGCTGTTGATCTCTGTTTACGCCAGGTGTTTGGATTTATACTCCTTGTGGTGACATAATAACCGAATGGCTTTAAGTAAGGTAGGGCCTGTGGCCATTGGCCTCTCATTCAGGCAGTTGAAGGTGGTCCATCTTGACTGATGAAGTGTTCCACTTTTTATAAAAAAAAATATGTACCCGTATGTCATGCAATATTAACGTAACCTGAATACTTCTCTTGTCGAGCTTCAGTATTCCAAGCTGATCTGAGCGCTAATGTCAAGAATCACAATTTTTTTTTAAAGTAGTCAGAATTTCACGGCTCTGTTGCAACAGAAATTTGGATTCTCAGATGACTCCCCAAGTTTTGAACTTTAACAAAAAATCA